CGCTCGCTCTTTCTAACTTCAACAAATGTGAAAATAAGAAATAACCATAAGTAATATCAGAGTGAAGACATATACACACAACTGACTGGGGATACATCTAGCGTAATGGTGTTTCGCAGAATGCCAGTAGTAAATATTTAGAACTCGTAATAGGTTTTGCGGGAGCTGCTGAAAAGCGAAACAACTTGTATCATGATAGTTGCGTTCTAAGCGAATTTTTTTTCTCGGTGGAATTGTCCAGCGAACCTGTTTAAATTATCAGACTTACAGGACAACAAGTATGTATAGATTATTTGATGGGTATTTAAATAGCCCTAGATAATCTATTACAACAATCTGTTGTCTATTTTGTATTAGTTATGTAGATTACTTTTATGTTTATGAAAGATAGGAAAAATGGCAGTGTGTGTCATCGTTAATCATTCTAGATTTGGTAAACATGCTATATTTCTATGTGTCACAATAGCTGTTATTTTCTTTATGTTGGTTGTCTTTAATAGTCTATTTCGTTTATATTTGAATTAATAGCTTTTGTTCTCTTACAACATTTCTGCCTAAGTACGTAAGGAGTATTTTTCGATTTCGTTGCCATTGTATTTTTTAAGGTTATTATTTTATGTTCATTTTTTTTGTTATATTTTTTTTATTTGATTTGATCATGTGACTTGTTGATAAACAAAACAATATAACAGCGAATGACTGTAAACGGAATATTTTTCATTTTAAATAATTATAGTTTTTCTTCCTTCCTAAATATTTGTTTAAAATGATTATCCTTTTCCCTTAAACGGGTCAAAATTACGTGTAACGTAGAAGCTGCATTTGATTTTTTGGTTGATTTTATGAGATAAAACAGTAATACATTTTTCTAAAGAGTGTATTGCAATCCTAAAATTCCTGAAGTATTTTTTTAACTTTTATCATGGGTGCCACAGAGGAGTGTCGATAATAAGATCGGGGCTGCTGCGAGTAGGGATGATAGCATTACATTAAGTGAAGAATTTCGTTTCATCGCAAGAAATACAATATTGTACATTACTATTTTTACTAAATTTGTACATTTCTAAATTCGGTATTTATTTGAATAATTATTATGAGAGATGTAATTTTATTTATATCTGCTGTTTTTATTTTTGGAATTCTTGAGAGTGATACGAAGTAGTGTAAAACGTGGCTCCCTACCAAAGAAGTAAGTACACTTGCTCTAAGTTGTAAACATAAGATTTAATGGTCACTTTCCTTGAAATTAACACAACAGTTGAACGTATCATGCCAGATTATGGCACGTTAGTAAAACCTTATGATGAATAACAGATGAATGTATTTGGCTGGTACAATATCAGTTGAGTCTCACGTTGTTCATTTAGTTCATTTAGTTAGGCAGATACTTGGTAATGTAGTAAATTGTCCGGGATACCGTGCTAGATTCCTGTTACAATTTAATCTTCCACACCTATATCCTACTGTAGTTTTCCATGCCTTGAAATTGCCACACTACTTTGGAATTATTCACGACTGTTGGCTACGTCGATAAGGCACATCGGGGAAGACTCATACTCTTCACTCCAACTCTTAGATTCTGCCGAGGGAATGTATATTTAACCTTTTCGACTCAGTTCAGCCGCGAAGGTGGAATACAAATTTTCCAACAATATTTTAAGGTAAAAATATTTTTTACTCATGGATAAATGGTTGGACTTGAGCAACAAAAGCATTTACGCAGACGGTAATGCTGCAATGTTTCTTCAACCAGGGTCTAATAATCAGAAAGAGGCATCTAAAATGTGATAAAGAAAATTGATAAGATATTTCTCTACTTTGGCTTTACTTACTGTGATAGTAATGAACAGCTTCTTTGTTTAATTTTTTATAACACTTGGCTATGAAGATTGTCAAATCATCCAAGTTAAAAAGGTATCTTGAAACCAATCATCCTTCGAACGTCAATAAACCAAAAGGCTATTTCAAACAACTGTTATATCTTTAAATAAAGAAAAACAATACTTTGAGAGATTCATGACTACTAGCGAAACATATTTATTTGGCATCATGCGACGTTTCATATTTTATTGCTAAACATAAAAAGCCTTACGCCATTGAAGAAGATCTTGCGTTACCTTCCGCCATTAAAACTGCAGAAATACTTCACAGAAATAAATATGGGGATGAAGTTTACAAAACTCCTTTGTCAAACGATACTGTCGCCGTTAGAATTTCGGAAGTTAGCAACGACTGATTCCAGCAACTTAAGAAAGCCCAAAATTTACAATCCAGTTAAACGAAACAACTGATATTTAAAAAATATCAGTTGTAATTTGATTTCTGATATTTAAAAAATATCAGTTGTAAGCATATGTCAAATGCACTTACAAAGAAAACTTCAATGAAGAATTGTTACTTTGTTGCAGTTTGGAAGAATATGCAACAGGAGAAGGTATGTATAGTAAAGTTGACAAATTTTTTTTAAATTGAAAGATTAGAATGAAAAAATTGCATTGGAGAGTATATGCACAGATGGTACAAAAATGATGACGGGCAAAAATAAAATATTGGTTCTGAATAATTTACTAAAACTGCTGGTAATGGTCATGTAACTTTTAAACATTGCCTTATTCATCCAGAAAACGTTACAGGAAAAAATAGCTAAGGATTCAAACAATATGCTTCAGGATGCAGTCAAAATTATAAACTTTATTAAAAGCCGTGCGTTTAACAGCTGTTTGTTTTCAAATCTATATAAAACTATGGACTATTATTGTTACTAAAAGACGAAATTAGTCATAAATCACTAAGTTACTTATGACTAAGGGATTTATGACTGACAGGATTCTCTTGCAATGGGAAATCAAAAATGAGAAGAATAGAAAAAAAACTTTAAATCGATTTAGTGTAGTATCAAGGGAAAGTTTTACGTCCGATATTTACAGACGGAATTAAATTTCTTTATCCCAATTACTTTCGAAGAATGAAACATCATCAAGTAAAAGAACAATCCCTGCTTCGAAAAGTGCCACTGCTTTCCTTGAATAAAAGAAGATTGATGCACATATACCTTTTCAAAGTATTCCTGCAAAGTTATCTGAAGTTTCACCTATGGACTACTGTGCCTTTCGTGTCTTGAAAAAAGCTCTTTCTAAGCGAAGACCCACCATGATTGATAGACTTTGGAACGTAGTGGAAGAAGAATGGAAATCAGTACCGCTGGACTGACATTTTGCGAAAAGCCTTTCTGTCATGGAAATCACGATGAAGATGGCCTAGTCCAGAAAAAAGGCTATCAGATCGAACATTTAAAAAACTATACTTTATATTGTAGACATTAGTTAAACTGTCCCATAATTGTTCCAAAATGTTTAAATAACCTCTGTATAATCTGCTGTTTACTATTTTGCACCCCAGAAAATTTCTGCAGTTGTAGAAAATAGTTTGAGAGTGTAAAAGTATCCTTCCTCAAAATATTAGTTCTAAGAGAAGGAAAAATTGATTTACGCAGTAAACTTAATATACATCATTACAGAAGTGTACAAGTTGAAATTTTTAACTCTCTTTGTTTTTAAGTTGTTCCTGAAGTGCAGTAGTTTAAATGACGAGGTATTTGTTGTCTATTTTAATACATGAAAATATAACATAGATTTACCAATTACTATTCTGTTGCGCCTTGATTGGTCTGGCAGTTAACAAGTTTTTGCGGTAAAGAGGTGTTGAGCCAAAAGTTCCAGCTAAAGGTTGACGGCAGCGATAGAAAACCCTCTGATGTGTCCTTCCAATCTAGTCTGGGTCAATATTGGGTCTGAGCCGAGAACTACTTAGGAGCCCAAGACCTTGGCCAACGACATCCTCTATTCTTTTGCTTTGAATCACGATAAAATGCGAGGATCAGACTTCGATTAAGTTCAGATCAGGATCATCAGTAAAAATAATAAATATCCTGTTACTTTTAATAACGTAATGGGTCTTCTCTCTTAAGAAATTCTTAACCTTTTGGCTTTAAAAAACTTTGAATAAGCTTCTACTTCATTTGAAATTTAGTTTATGTAGTACGTTTCTGCTTCTAGATGTTAAATTTTCGATTATTCAAATGAATCATGCCCAAACGCAAATGCTTCGAACAATGCAAATATATCTCATATGCAACTGTTTATTAAAGTTGAGAATGTTACAAATCAGTCGAAAAGGTTATTGGTTTGGTCACGAAAAGCGAGTTTTACCAGCTCTACAATTATATTTCGGAGAAGAGAAAGCGCACTGTTATGTTTGCGTATGGTCAATATACCGAGTAAGCATTATTAGTGTATTCGATCACGATAATACTTCTAAGTTTAACAAAAAATAAATATATAATTACAACAAGAAAAGGAGAGCTTGAAATGTGATAATAGTAATAACTACAATAATAAATTACTGTTTTCAAATTTCTGCATGCTGAAGATAATAGTTTTGTTTAGTTACTTCTCCAATTAGAAAAAGTGAAAACAAATGGTTCAATATATTTTTGACGTCAAGAGCGCGAAAAATAATTTCAACTGATAAACTTTTGGTCATCTAAAATGCGTTGTGTTTCTTAGTAAATGTTCAGTGTGTTGATGAACTCTAGAGATTGCTTGAAATTTTCTTATATTATTATTTTTTCAATCGAAATATTGATTGCACCATAAATAGAAGGATAGTGTTTGAGAGAAACTGAAGAGAAGTATCTGGTTCTAATTAGTTAAGTTATTGAATTTATCGCGTGAAAAAGAGAACATATTTTTTACTTAAAATTATAAGCAGAAATTGGTGAAATATTTTATGTCAAATCGTTTGCAGATGAAAGCGTGTACAGGAATAATTTCCTTAAACCGAAATAAATCAATCAAATTGTTCGATAACTCCCTAAATTTTGTGATAGCTACAATTAAAGAATGTAATTTTATTTAAGCATAAATTTTGAGGTTGTGCAAAAAGTAAGATAAAAGAACAATAAGGCAAAAATTTAAGAATGTTTCTGGAATTTTTATATTTAAGATAAAGAAGTGTAGAAAAATGAAGGTTGATGAATTAAGTTTAGGAGAAAAGTGTCAAAAACAACTGATATGCCAAATTAAGTGAAACAAGAACATCTTTGGGAATAAAAAAACTGACAAATTAACAGCTCCATATTGGAAATGATACTCGTGTATCACTCAGTGGTTGGGCTCCTCATGGTCAACACTTGAGCGAAAATTGATACTAAGTCTGCTTTACATAGAATAATTGATTTTATGCCAAAAGCAAACATTCTTTTCTTTCAACGGAGGCGAGTAAATTCAAGAGCGTATTTCCATGGAGTATTTGACATTTAAATGAAATGAAAAAATCTTGTGGAAAACTTTCTTTCTGGAGATCCAAAGCTCGCTCATTTTTTAAAATACTCATGGTTGTAGGATTTATCCTTCAAAGTGCAAAATTCCTGGAAATGTATCTCAAGTATCCTTCTTTTCTGCAGTTAGATGTAGAAGAACCACAGGAAGTGGAATTTCCAGCATTTACAGTCTGTAATTTAAACGAGTAAGTTTCATTAATTCCTTAGTAAAAAGTTTCGTAAAAGATTTAATTATGTAACAACGTGGATACATAACATAACATACATAGCATATCTGGATGTGTCCAGAAGATCTCCAAATATCCGATTAACTAGAACGACAACCAATTCGGATATCTAGATAAACTGATTTCTCTCTCTCACTCTCTTTTTCCCCTTCTTCTTCTTCTTTTTTTTTTTTTTTTGTTAAATGTGAATTTATTGTGATATACATTAGGGAATTTTATTCATTCATTTCTTTTTATTATTATTTTGTTTATCATATTTTTTAACTATATACATATATTTCATAAATTAATTTATGGTGATGCATTTTTATTGAAATCAATCAGATTAAAAAAAGAAAAAAAAAAAAAAAAATTTTTAAGAACTGCGTTCTGGTGCTTTTAAGTAGTTAATTTATTAATTAATAACAGACAGATTTAATATGAAAGAATAATAATCTTAATTCTTTTCTGAATGGCAACACACTCGAATGATTAGTGAAACAACGCATTAAAGGGAAACAACGCGAAATCGTATTTCGAGGCCTTTTGGGCTAATAAAATAAAAAATAAAACAAAGAGGTTACTTTTTGTTTGTCAACACTTTTCTATCTAGAAACTAAATTTTATTTACTGGGGTCCCAAAACTAAATAAGTAATCCTTATTTTTAACTACCCAAACTACTTTAAGTTTTTATCTTTATTAAAAGTTTAACTGACCTCGTTCAAAGGCAGATTTCGGCTCAAAATCTTTTTTTTTTTTTTAATTATTTAACATTTTTGAAGGTCACATTCTTAGCTATCAAAAATTTTTCTTTTCTTGATATATTGATTAGAATGGAGATACACCACTTTTTCTGAGAGGCAACAAACCGGAAGTTGCTGTCTGCTACACCGGAAGCCAAAGTTTAAAGGATTTAAACTTATGCAGTTTAAAGATGCAATTTCTCGCTATGTTATTTTTTTAACTTATTAATTTTAAGCATTTCGGTATGTCTGGAGAATGTGGCAACTTTTTTATGTATTTTCTCATTTTCGTTTGGCAGTGTGAATAGATGTGTATATATGTCATGTAACGTTAATCAGAAAACTTTTAAATGCGACTTTTGTTTAATTTTATTATGATTTATGTTCGCAGTAGCCATGATAATTTTTTATAGAATCACTTGAAATTTTGCACATTATTTTGCATGATATAAAACTAGAGTTAAAACATTAGCCTTATAGAATTTAAATTATATAATTTTTCCTTCCATAGCGTGTGTATTTTTTAAAAAGTTTTGAGTTTTGACTAACATATTTGACCATATATTAATACTGAATCAATATTTTCTAATTATCCTTCTTCACTGTATGCTTATAGATAGTATATATATTATAAAGGCAAAAATATGTTTTATCATCTTTATTTTCTTATCAGTGATAACTGATGATTTTATCAATTTCTATCTAAAATTCAGAGTATTTTCACAAATTTCAAATTGCGTTTTCCATGTCTCTAAAGCACGACATGGGATATATATTAAATTTATATATAGCATTGCTCCGAGAAAGCGCAGATCACAAACATTTGTTCGTTATCGGAATTCTGTATTTAGATTTTATATGTATAACTTGGAAAGCATATATCAGCTGAGGTCAAGACACTGATATGATTGTTAGCATGAAACTTCATTATTTAGTTTTTATAAATATGCTTAAAAAAAGCGGAGTTGTAACTGACATTTTAAAACATCTCCAGCTGAAAACAAAATTAGAAGAATTTTCCCGAATCATTAAAGAACTCTGTTCATTGGAAAAGTTGACATGTAAACATAATGCATAATTTGTACTTAGAAACATTAGATTTACGGTTCATAGCTAATATCTGCAGAAAAATAATAAGCATTTAAATAGATAAAAATAAACTTAATAATGACGTTTGCGAACCCAAGCCGTTAGAATTTTTTAAAATTGTTATTTAATGGATAACAGCAGATCAGTTTTAATTTCATACAAGTCTAAATAGTAATTAAAAATGAAAGCATATTTATTTGATCTATTTGACTTGTTATTTGGAAAGAGAGATATTTTTCATTTGACGTATTATATTTGTTTCATTTACCTAAATGAAATAATTTCTGGTTGTAATTATAATTAAGAGCTAAAATTTGAGGTTTGACACTGTTAAAGTAGTTTTTTGTCTAATTTTTCTTCGCTATCTCGGATCGTAAGAAAAGAGGTTTTCTTATATAACGGCATAAATTTTCGTAAGATGTAAATATACGTTTTATTGATAAATTCTAAAAATTTCGTAGGCTTCTATTTTTTGTTGTTTAATTACTTTCCGTAAAATCATTAAACGTTTTAATTTTAATTGGTAATTTTAATTTTAATTGTTAGAATCTACCAATGAAAGCAGGTTCTTCATCAGCTATGAACAGGTGATGTCCAGGATATAGCCAGACCACTATTTTTGTAAGCAAGTGTCCTGAAATTACTTGTTTAATTTATAAACTATGCATTCAAGTTTAAGTAATAATAAAAGGAAAAAGTATATTAAAAACTTGAAAATGACAGGCTTTTCAGATTTAAAGACCCAGTTCTTTCGTTACTTCAGCTAAGCACATTTTATTGTGAACTAAAACTTTTGCAAATTCATTTCAGAATTCGTTCCACCCCTTACTGTGCGAGATACCCTGAAAGATGTGGAAGCGCAGAAACAACGAAAAATTTCTGCGAATTTCCGGAATATTGTCGTCTAGTTAATGATACCAAGAAACAGGTAAGGCATCATTTTTAGTATAGAACAGAGACTGTTTAAACACATTTAGAAGGAATTTTATGCAGTATAAATAATGTTAGAATAAAAAAAAAAAAAAAAAAATAAAAAAAAAAAAAAACCCTTATTTTATTAATCATTACATTTGTTGGGGTATCAACATAAAATTCATTTTCCAGGTAGAAGGACATTTCTTACAATTAGCAGTACTATTTTACTCATTCCTTTTCCCACTGTATTGCCTATTCAACGTTAGGTCTGCGTTTTGAAAGTTCTTTTTTTTATCACTGTAAAGACATAATAATTCATTGGTGAAATATCAGAGGACTTTCAACAAATATGAAGAACAGATATTTATCTCTTGGGGCAATATTTTCAAGAAATTTAGTTGTTCGATATGTAACTAGTAATTTTATTGTGGTTCTTGGGCTCAATGAGAGAGAGCTTCGGTGATAAAAGGATGGATATGCTTACTTTTTAAATATAAATTTGTAAACTGAAACATTATTTCATAGTACAAATAAAAAAAATTTTCAAACTGCTTTTCTTAATTAATTAATTAATATGCTGTAGGGATTTATATTGTTTTTAAATAACCAATTTTATTTAATTTTAAGTTATTTCCTATAAACCTTCATTCCCATAATTGCCAATGCCAGAATATTTAAATTTGGTAGCGCGCGTGAAGGAATGAAAATTCTGCTTTGAGGAAGAAAAGTTTTAAAAACCCGAGTTTTAGAAAGAAAGAGTTAGGCTATTGCCGTCACCTCTGTTGCGTGAGCTTCTACTCCCGGAGTTAATGCTGGTTTACGTGGCATAACAGCACTTACTTTGCTGCCACTAGTTTTGACGCGGGTTTAGAAAACAGGAATATCTGAGCCCTGTAGCTTAATTTCTACTATTTGTTAACTTCTTCGAATTTTTAGTCTAGTTCTGCTATTTCAATTTTTGTGATTTGAGTTATCGCCCAAGTGAGGCGTAGTGTGTTAGCGTCAAGTCGACGCAGTGTGAATTCTAAAGAGTATTTTCAACCCTTCTCCTGTGCAGTTACTACAGTTCTCACTTAGAAGTACTTACAGTTCTCACTTAGAAGTTAGACAAGTGGACTCTACAATCCCATTGATCAAATAACCAGTTTCAGTTTGAAGTCGTTCACTTAAATTTTGTTTGAGTTCTTGTCCCCAATTTTTTGCGTTTGATAAATTTGATAAATTCAAAATGAAATGTTAATAACCGTTGGATGATTGAGCAAGATTATTTCCTGTATCTCTAAGCTTATGACTGTTCACAGTGAGTCTGTAGAATCATTAGGTGTTTTATCTCGAAGTAGAAGACATGAAAATATGTAACCCCGGCATACGAAGTCCGGAACATTTCGATTGCTAGCCGTATGCGCTTTTCAGTTACACCACGGAGAACGCCGTAAGGAGCGAGAAAAATCTTACAGTCTTTCCCCCCTTTAAAGGGCGACTGTGGAGAACGAGACGCAGTTGCCATATACTAGGGGTGACGAATTAACATCCACCATCTTTTAGTTTGGGCGCCAGACGCTTTTTTATTTTGGAGCACGAGATGTGGAAAGTATGCAACGTTTTCGCCGACATTCAAACTTGGGGGTCTCCCGATTGCTAGTCTGACGTGCTATGAAGTTTTCTCACCTAAAAAATACAGTAACTTCAGTGCTATATACTGTTCTTACATTTGCTTTGTGTTCCTCCGACTTTCTTCATCGAACGAGTGAGCACTCTGTGCAAGGATTAGAACTTTAACAGGTTGAGAGATCCTCTGAGTTTTTTATTTTTAAGCTAATATTACTCTTTATCGAACGAGTGAGCACTCTGTGCTAGGATTAGAAATTTAACAGGTTGAGAGACTTACTTAGTATTTTATTCTTAAGTTAATATTACTATTTCATGTTAAATGGGGTCAAGAGAAACCTCCCCAACTAGATCAATTAGGACTACCAGCTCGAGGTGTGTGAGCCCAGTGAGATTAGACCATCCATCTTCCAGATTAGATAGGATTAACACTTTGACTCTGCACATCAAGTCACTTTTAGCAGAGTACAGAGGCCGTTCTAAACTAAAAATCGCAGACCACGAAGCGGTGTCCAATTATATCACAGAAATACTGGCTATAGCTTCTAATCAGGAAATCTTAATTGCACGACAGGAGGGACAAATACTTCAACTAGAACGACAACTTAATGCCAGTCTCTTCTCTCAAGCAAGAGAGCAGCACAGTTTTAAGGTCCCGGAGCTACAGGAAAACCATCCTACAGGACAACAAGACCGCCGGAGTTACGCAACTGTGGCCGGTAAGATTCAGAAAAAGAAGCCCCCTTCCATACAAGCAACAGCCATTCCCAAGCAAAAGCCTTCTGAGCACGTTTTACTTATCAAGGGGAAAGATTCAGAGCGCACGCCAGATAGTGTGAAAGCGCAAGTTCTAAACAACATCAAAACCTCATAAGCTTGGCATCAACATACAGCAAGTGAGGGCCACGAGATCTAAAGAACTCTTGATTAGGTGCAAAGAAGCCACACACCTGCACAAACTTAAAAAAGTAATTGAAGAGTCTAGCGTGCTGACAGAGCACTTAGAACTAAGGATTCCCCGTCCGTTTAGGAGCTCTCTTATAGTATTTGGGGTACCCTGTGACATAACGGCAGACGAAATAAAAGCAGCATTTGAAGATCTTTTGCCAGAAACACGGTCGCCAGTTATCTTTCCAAAAGGCCCGAGACCTAGGGACGAAACTACCTGTAATTGGATACTGGAAGTGACAGCAGATTTCAAAGACAGGCTTCTCGACCACAAGCGGGTTTATATTGGATTTACTTCGTGTCCGTTTAGAGAATACGTAAAAATAACCCGCTGCTACAACTGCCAAACCTTTGGCCACCTAAGTAAAAAACTGCAGATTCCCACCAGCCTGTACTAAGTGCGGAAAAGGTCATTTAACACAAGAGTGTACGGCAGAAGAGGAAAATTGTGCGAATTGTGTTCACTCCAATACGCATAATAGCACAGACTTTGACGCAAGTCATCCGGCAAGTTCTTCAAAATGTCCTGTGTACCGACAGGAACTGCAACGAGGCAGCAAAACACAGCAACAACGGATGTAGGCAGTAACCAATTCCGCCAACAAGTCACAGGACTCAGGTTTCTCCAAGCAAACCTGCAGAGAGCTAGATCTGCAACACTTAACTTCATGGATATTATGACAAAGGAAAATGCCGGATATCGCCCTCATACAAGAGCCGTACTTAGCACATAGTCATCTGCCAGGAATTCCACCCACAAGCAAGACGTTCCAGTCAACCTCTCAACAGGCTGTCATAATTTATAATGGTCCGCTATCTCCCCTCCTTACATCTCAGACGCAACACTCAGTTACCATTAAACTAGAGACAACTACGGGACACCTTCAAATTACTAATGTGTACTTTCCACCAAGTGAGGAATTAGATCCACTATTAATAGAAATCAGCACTGTCGTCAGAAAAGGGAACAACCAAATCTTATTAGCAGGTGATTTCAATGCTTCAAGTCCCTTATGGGGGGCGCGAGTGGAAAACGTAAGAGGCAAAATGGTTTTAGAATATGCAATGACAAACAGATTAAGCATCATAAACACGTCAGACTCACCGCCCACCTTTCGCACTATAAGGGCGGAAGGTTGGCCGGATTTAACCATGGTATTCTTCCCAATTAGCAAATCAAATGTCGGAATGGCATGTTATGGACATTCCCTCTCTGAGCGACCACAGAATAATCAGCTATCTAATGGGCGCTCAGTTAACTTATACTCTGAAACAGAGGTTCAAGACAGCTTATGGAGGACATCAGAAGTTCCTTAATTTGCTTCGTCCTTATGTAGGTCAATTGATTTTCAACTTCCAAGCAAGCAACACCATAGACGGACTGGATGATGCCTACAGGCATTTAATTGGAACTCTAACAAGTGCAGCAAAACAAACGTATAAGAAAAAAACACCCAGCCAGAAGAAAGAACTTTCCTGGTGGAATGACAAACTAACGGCAAACAGAAGCAGAGTTCGGGCGCTCAGAAGACTGGCACAGTCAGAAACAGATTCCATACAAAGGGACCAAAAAATGCAGACGTACAAGAAGGCACTTGCGCAATACAAACTACAGATAATAAAGGCCAAATCCGACTCCTGGCAGGAACACTGTAGTAGAATACCGGAAATTTTTGGGAAAATACAAAAAATCGCCGCAGGTAAGGTCTTTAGACCGACTCAATTGACTGCGAATGTGGCCCCTGACGCACCAAATACAAGAAATATTCTTTCGGTAATACTGAAAACGGTTTTTCCTTCAGATGATCCCGCCAATGACTCAGAAACGCATACATTAATAAGGACGCAATTTCAGGAAAAATTCTGGTCTTCCATAAATGGAGACTATCTCCCACCAACAATAGAGGAGGTAGACCTAATCATAAATGGTTTGGCAAGGAAAAAGGCACCGGGGCCGGATGGCCTAGACAATATAATACTCAAGGCATTGCATAATGAGTTTCCAGAGCTGATCCACTCAGTCTGCAAAGCATGCTGGAAAGTAGGACACTTTCCGAAAGATATGAAGCTGGCAGAGATCGCTCTGTTTCACAAAAAGGGGAAAGATCCCTCGGATCCGACCTCCTACCGCCCGGTAAGTCTCCTTCCCACAATTAGCAAAGTTCTAGAAAAAATCATTCTAATGAGGCTAAATTATTTCCTGAATAAAAGTTCAGTAATTAATAAAAAACAGTATGGCTTCCGTGAAGGAATATCTACGGAACAGGCAGTAGCAGATCTCCTGAAAGTGCTGAAAAAGAACAGAGAGGAAGACAATCACTCAATAGTAATATCTATTGACATAAAGGGAGCCTTCGATAATGTCTGGTGGCCTGATGTAACAAAAGAATTAGATTCAATCAACTGCCCAATTCAGATCTTAAAGTTGATAAGGAGCTACCTTGAAGACAGACAAGTCCAAGTAACTACAAACGATGGAATAATCCAGCATAAACTGGAGAAAGGCTGTCCACAGGGTTCCTGTCTAGGGCCAACCCTGTGGAACCTAGTAGCTAATTCAGCGTTCCAAATTTTTGAGATGGAGAGCGAAATACATCTGCAGGCTTTTGCGGATGATTTCCTTCTAGTAACTTCGGGAAGAAAGAATATCGAGAAAATTACACAAAATGCACTAAATAGGTTCTTAGAGTGGGCACAAACACATAAACTTACGATCTCAGCAGAAAAAACTACCATGCTATTTATAGGGCGTAAAAGAGTAATGAAAAGAAATCCTACCATTAGACTCAACGGTAGCTCAATAAAATGCTCTTCAAACATAAAATACCTAGGATTTATCCTCAACAATAATCTCTCTTGGATTCCCCACTTAAAAGAACTCAGGAAAAGATGTATCGCACTCACAAACACAATGCTACGCACAACAGGACTGCAGTGGGGAGCACCACCATGGGTGCTTAAGAGGTGGTGGTACCAAGCAATAACAGAAAGAATTGTTCTCTACGGCGTAGCGATCTGGGGAAATACACTCAACGTAAGCATGCGTAGATTACTTCTGTCCATGCAAAGGCTGCAACTCTTGCTCATCTGCAAGGGCTACAGAACTACTTCAACGACAGCTCTGCAGGTTCTAGCAGGAATTCCTCCGCTAGACCTGCAAGCGGAAAGGGAGTCGTTAATTGCAAGAGTGTTAAGGCTAGGTGAGGATGGAGTTCTATGGGAACAACACCACTTTGCTGAAGACTTTGAAAAACACAAGCCAGTGACTCAAGGACATCCGGCTGAAACACATCTAAAAAAGTGTATTCTAGGCCACTATGTGACACCAAAAGATAACCACACAGCTATATTTACAGATGGCTCAAAAACCGAGACGGGTACTGGCAGTGCCTTCTGCGTTCTAAAAGGTAATACAGCTGTGTATAAATGGAAAAGAAGACTTGGCAGTAGGAACTCAGTATTCCAAGCTGAGCTGGCAGCACTTAAAGCAGCAATTAATTATGTGAAGAGGAACAGACTTCTCCACATTACTATTTACAGTGATTCTGCCTCTAGCCTTGACGCAATCAAAGGTTACAAAAGTAGAAGCCAGTATGTCCAAGAAATTAGAAAAATCCTCCTCAGTCTTCCACCATCAGAAAGGCCATGCCTCACGTGGGTTCCGGCTCACGTGGGCATTAAAGGCAATGAGGAAGCAGACACCCTGGCAAAAGAAGCGGCAAAGGAGGTCTCAAGAACAGAACTGCCAGATAAATTACCTAGGTCTCATCTCAAAAAGATCACTCTAAAACAACTGATAGACAGATGGCAAGCCAGATGGGACACAGCAGATACAGGAAGGAGAACGTATATGTTCTTCCCAAAAACAACGCTAGAGTTAAACTGCAATAGTGGTAGTCAGACACAGTTTTATACAGGTCATGGCCCATTCCTGACCTATCTGCATAGATTCAGCCTGAGTGACACAGAAAGATGTCAATGTGGAGAGGTGGGGGATCCAGACCACTACGTCTTCCACTGCACAAACACGGCACAGTACCATATAAGAAAGCCAAGTCAAGCTTACTGGCCACAATGGGCGGCAAATATGAGAACAAACAAAACAGCAAATAAAAAGCTACAAGCGGTAATCAGCCATTGTCAGAGAAAGTATTCTCTAATACGACGATAAGTGTCCCCAAATAGAAATAATCAAGTGCTTAGCGCTCTGAATCATAAAATGTATAAATCACACTAAATCAATCTGGGCACACACCTCGAACCTCTCAACCCAAGACTAACTTAGATAATTAGGACTATGGCAACAACCTGCCTATATTCTTTATAATGTTTACTTTTGCAATTAATGTACAGGTCTAGGACTCGCAAGACCAGATCGTGCCAGTAAAATCTTCAACAGCAATGAGTTTTTCCTACACTTACTAATCGTGTATTTAAATTACAAGTTTGTGATAAATAGGTTCAAGAAGGGCAAGGTCAACTTATGTTATCACCTCAAGTTTATGAATGATATTATTATTGGTATGGCATTTTTGCCTTCTTAATTTTAATAAATATTCAACTTTTTATGCAAATCTTAGGGAAGAAATATCTGTATTTATGTGATCAATTGCATGTTTGAATCTCTTCCCTAGTGATCAGCATTACGTGCTTAATTATGTTTTGTATAAATTATGTGCATGTTCTAAGGTGATAAAACTAACTATGGAATTAATGTAGGTAAGTTTCTCTTTGTAATTATGTATCAGCATTATGTATTCAAGTGTTTGGAATCAGATATCAGTTTTACTGAGTATGGTGCTGTACTTTTCTGTTTATGTTCACTTTAAAGTACTCAAGTCTGTATTTATTCCTTCTCAGCATGTACTATGAAGGTCAGTTCGTACTTGGCTAGGATTTAGACTACATAGCAGTACTTAATGATCAGTTTTATGTATTATGCTTATCAGTTTTATTTTTAGTTTTCATGTATTATGTATGCAGGCATTAGGGATCAGCTTTCTGTATTTCTGTACTCAGTATCATGTTAGTTTTTCACTTTAATATTCAGTTTTGTACTTATGTATGTATTATCCTGTCTGCAAGTACTACGAAAGAAAATGTAGGTGAATGGTTCAATTTGTAAAACAACTACAGTTTAAGTATGCGCAAAGAACTAAATTATGCAGGAATTTGTTATCTTAGTGATAACAGGTACACAATCTTTTAAAATGTTCTTACATAAGAGTCAGGCACATGGAAAGTAAACTGCGTTAAATTATGTTTGGGCGCTAGGATTTTTTTAATCATCTTTTAATCTCTCTCTTTATTATTTTTTTTATTTATTTATTTATTTTTTTTAAGTTTACTATGTGCAATAATTTAATAGGTTACAACTTTCCTCCATGCAGGACCAACGATTTCACAGAAGCCCCATAAAGATATGACGGTTGTGTCACGATAAGCACCCGCATGTAGACATTTAGCAAGTCCAGAAAATCCACGGCAGTTAATTTTTCAGGCAAAGTCCTTCTATCTTTACTTTATCTAACACAAGTTTCTGTCTATTCTAACAGCGATTCTTAACAGTCTTTTGATTGCTTCTTTGCTTAATTTTAAGTAGTTCCTAACAGGATACTCTTTCCCCGTACAACAACATCCAAGCTTATATGTAGACTATATGAGGCTCTTAGCCGTCTATTCGGCTGCGTTCCCGGAGCAGGATGGAGCAGAGAGTAGATGGTTTCTGCCAGGAAGATAACACACTGTGAGGCTAAGGCCAGGTCAGTGGTCTTCCTTGGTGGCGCTCACTCACTCACTCACTACGGAAGCACGCAGTAAGGAGTGAGGAAAACATTACAAGCCTAGATTTGACCTTTAAAAATTGTACATAAAAAAGGTAAATAAAAACTTCCAGTAAAATAACGGTCATTCAAGGTTCATTAACTTTCTGGATGAGCGAATGCTGTTTCATTGAAAACTACCAGAAGGTTCCTTGGTGTAAAATCCCATTTTTATGCTTGGTTATAAGAAATTACTGCAACTACCAACGTCGTGCACAGTGCATAGAAAACGCGGTGAGTTTGCTGTTATTTTCACATATCACTCATATCTGTATGTGTAATACTTTTGAATGTATAGTGTTTTAAAAATAAATGAGTTTTTTATAGTAAATAGATTACTATAGTCTGCTTCTTTAAAATAGGTATTTCCAGCCGTTACCAGCCTCCCACCATTTACGATAGCAAACTTATGTCATCGTCACCGCACATCATTTATTTTCTGCATCTCATTTGAGACTTTAGTTCAAGTCAGCTTTCATTTGCGGGCTTTTATGAAGTGAAACTTGTTAAACTAAAATGAAGGGGGGGGGGAAGGAATTAAGCAGCTCGACCTTTTTTCCGCATCTCTTTTTCCCATGGATGGTTATGAGCCAAATCGGATGGCGGAAAATAACCTTGAAGTTCTTAAGTTATAGGAACAGACTACAGCAGTAAGACATTGTCAAATTACAGCATGCTATAGAATTATCGTGGCTTACTAATGATTATATATACGTCACAGATTCGCATGCTTTAATATGTTATTTTTTCGAAAAAGAATACGAAATTTAAGTCATTTTTTTAGGTACCTCTTCATCCAATCTCACATTATAATTTGTCGAGGTACGAACAACAGCTATTCGGGCATCAGTGGAATGGTCTGGTGGTGGACTGTGTTATAGAAACAGATGGCAATGAAGAAAAATGCAAGTAAGTAATTTATTATACAATCTATGTGCGGGATTTAAATTTAGGTCGGAATGCTTGACAATAGCCTGCGGCAAATAACTTTTTTTTAAATTTTTTTATTTTTTTATTTTAGTTTCGTGTTTTCTTTTGATTTTTCATGGCAAATAACTTCAGTAGCTGTCTGCGAAAGCTGTCTTCACTGAAACTAGCTGTCTGCGAAAGAATACACATAAGTGATAACCGACATGAAATTGTTTTATTTTTAATCCAAATCTGATGTAACAACGTAATTTTATTTTACATTCATCCTTATCTTTATTCATAATTTATTTTTATGACTATCTGCTGCCATGTTGTCGGAAAAAAAAAGAAGAAAAAAAAAAAAAAAAATGTTATTGTGCTAAACTTAGATTTTAAAGTGATATTCATTTCAGAAATGAGAATCTTCATGAATTTGAAACAAAATTCAAATGTTGAATGCTTATCACGGAATATTCGAGTAAAATGCATTTAAAAATACTGAAATTTACACATATTGCAGTTCTGAATCTATGTACACTGCGGGAAAAAAAAAGGCGGGACAGTTCCTAATCTCCTCTTCTACTGGGCCGATTGATGAAATTCAAATTGTGCTTTTCATGTCTCGAAAGCGCGACTTAGAATATATATTAGATTTATATATAGCACTATTCTAATATAGGTATTTTGACACAAAATCGGGCTTTTTTCTGAAATAATATAAAATTTTTTTTACATATTTCGATTCTATCTTGGAGCTTTTTTTTTTTTTTTTTTTTTCTGTTTGCGCCAAGAATAGTTCACTTGGCGAACTTCTTAGTATATGGCAACCGCTTTTCCTTTCCCTTTTTACATTGTGCGCGAGAGGGAAAAAAGTAACACCTTTTCTTTCAAATAATGTTCTTTATATTGTATTTTTAATTACAATTGTTATTAAGGTTTTCAAGGTTGTCGTGATGCGAATTCATAATTAGTTAAATAATTGATATTAATAGCACCACAGTGTTTTAGGATAATCAATCCTCTGCATATTTAATAAGAATAATTCAGGTAGGTTAATGACATAGAATAAACTTACGAGTAAACTTAAGGAGGCAAAAGATGTTTAAATTTGTAAGTTTTTTTCAAAAGTTCGAAATTTCATTTTTTTATTCCCCAAACTAATGTAAGTGATGTACAAGTAGAGAAATTTTTGAATTGAGGTGAATTTTAAGCCTTTTGTAAAGATTTTTCACTATTCATATATGAACAATTAAATGTTCTTAAAGGGCGTTTAAATGGTTGGCACATTATGTTTTCCATACTTTTTTGCATATGTCAGTCAAATTCATTTTACTTTTTACTTTAAGTACGACAACATGTATTTTAGTTTTTCCTTGAATGGCAACAGCAGTTGCTTGCAGCTTTTTACTTCCTTGTGCGAAGAAAAAGAAGTTTTGCCATCACGAAACATTTCCTGTATCATATTTCAACGAAAATATCCATTTTGATCGCTCTCGAATACATTTGAACGATGTTTTTGCGTGAGATCTGTGTGTACGGACAAAATAAAGGGTTCTTTTGTCCAAAACGGACTGTAAAATGGATTCAAAACGGAATTTTTTCGTGACGTCTGTACGTATCTATTTACGTATGTATGTATCTCGTATAACTTAAAAACGAGTAGTCATAGATTGTTGAAATTTTATATATGGGACTGCATATCATGGCATATTATCATGTGAAGAAGATTCTACGAAGATCTATCTGAACTGCGAATTGAAGAACAAAAAGTGTTTTCTTACCATAAGAAAACATTTTACCAGAAGACTACAGAAAATTACAGTGCAAAAGTTGGTGGGGGAAAAGGGCAAGAAGACTACTAAAACGAAACCACCATGATATGATATTAGAGGGAATCAAACGTAAACTAATTTATCACATTAAAAGAAGCATTAGTGCTATCGAATTCTTCATAATGTCTTTTCAATAAACCTCTGCTCCTGACTCATTTTTAATACCTTGCCCAAATAGCATTTATCATTCTATTTAGCATTAGATATTACATACAATGTTCAGGGAAAATATACATAATATAAAATTAATTCGAATATTTCTCATTGTGTCCCAAAATGCCAGGTATTCTGTTTATTATCTAGACACCCTATAGAATGCCTGGTTTTCACACATTGCCTTTAAGGGGCTGTATACCTTTGAACACTTTTTTTTTTAAATTTTAAGTTTGTGCATTTAATTTTGGCTTTAAAGTTATAACGTTGCGCGCCTCCAACTTGCACGCAACCAAGAGGTGACTGTGAAAACTTGTATAAAAGATAGAGCCTTGTGAAGGGGTTAAGTCCCTTTTTATTCAACGTAATAAATTACAATTGCGTCCTCTTGACGCTTACAGACGGTGCCAACTTGGCAGTCAAATAAAAATAATAACCTGAAAAGAAAGTAAAGACAAGATTCTAACTACGAGGTTCTCTAAAATAACTAACTCCCGCGTTTTACAATACCGCTGCTAATTCAGCAGACTTGAAGCTCACTGGAATGATTACCACTACTTCCCGCCAAGCACATAGGCCGCAACGCGGGGTTCTTCAATTCTCGCTAACTACCTCCGCGCTCGCTAAGTAAGAATATCGCATACCGAACTTGTTTCCTTCTATTTAAATCATAATGCTTCCGCTGATAATTTGAATCCTTGCGCGTTCTACTCAAATTTACATATTCTGGCATTGGCAGTTCCAGGGGAAAGTAAGGCTTGACAGGAAAGATAGTTTAAACTTAAAATAAATGTTAGTTAAACTAAATATAAACCCTACAAAGTGATTAATGATGAAAAAAATGTAGAAGCTGAGTTATTTAATGATCATTAATTATGTATTTTTGGACTAAAGTAAAAAAAACGAACAAACAAAAAACAGCAATATTTACAATAAATTAACACTGTGTTAAAAAAGTATAATATATTTTCATATTTTGTAAAATGTAAACCCATCATAATGACATTCTATTATTTTAAAGCTAGGAAGTTATTTAAAAATTTTTTAATCTAGAATGTGTAATATAACAAAGAAAAAGCATATTTTCTTATTAAAATTCATGTTTAACACATAATAACTTTCAATTAGTAAATAGATTGTCTCCTTACATGAAATGTTCTAAACATGTATACAAATTGCATAAGATTTCAATCACAATTTTTAAAGATATTGTGTTTCTTGTTAGCATTAAAACACGAAAAATGAAAAACGAGATAAACGCATTTAATGAATTCAAACACTCGATTACCTACTTTTAAACAGTTTGTAAACTTAAAATTCCCCTAATTTATAACTAATGCTCTCTTGTTTTTCAGAATTTACATTTTTTCTGCTTTCTTGCAGCCTTTAAAATTTTTCTCTGCTTTGTAAAGCCAAATCATGGAATGTCGTTTCTCATTGTCGATATGGTTAACATCAAAACTTTCATACTTGTTTGAAGTGTAGTAACCAATATCTATACCTAATTTACCATATGTATATCTAATCTGTACAATATCTACCTATACCTATAAAAATTAATGAATATTACTCAGTAATAAATAAAAAAAGACACTTATTAGTAATATAAACACAGAATTAAAACACATGCGAAAATGCGTTAGTGAATTCTTAACACACAGCTTGAAAATACGCTAGAAGTTTGCTTTGTTGACAGCATTAAAATACTTTTTGGTCTTTAAAATGCAATTAAATAAAGTTTTAAGCCCCGAAAATAAAAGTAAACAACTCTGATATACTCACTTCGGCCTTTTAAATATTTATGTCTTGTGCACTTCTGGTATGCTTTTCGAGGATAAGGTGTCGAATAAAGTATCATAACTCCGGATTACATGAACGTAGCGACAAAATTCAAACAGTTTTGGAAACATAAGAAATAAGACTTTTATCAAGCGAAAGAAAAAAAGGAGGTTTTTGACCAAAATCTCGGTTTCTAAGGTATACAGCCCCCTTAACATGCACGAAGTGATTTGCATCCTAGTGGAAGCTGTAAAAAAGAGAAGTGAAAGTACAGACAAAATAATAACTGGTTAACTAACACAAAAACCTCTTAACCTAAAATAAGTTAACCTAAAATAAAAGACCTAAAGTAAGTTAATTCTCGAAAACAGTACATTACTTCCATTATGGACCCTGTGAGGTAAAACCTGTTCAAATTACCCAAACCTAAAGGGTTTATTTGTACATTGGTTTGTTGAATTACTTACAGTATAGTCAATGTGTTTGAGTTGTACGCTTTTAGTTTCTGTAAGGATTTTATTGCTAGCTCTCAGAAACAGACTCCATTTCCTGTTGGCCGCAGGTAAAGTAACTTTAAACAAATATTATTTATTGCTCTTAATTCTCTAGGAGTATTTCGCAAGTTTATGTTTAACACTAGAACTACCACTTGCTTTGAAGTATGTTTACTGTCGAGAAAAGAACTCTTTGTTTTGGCTTTACTCAATTCAATATTTTAAAGAACTAATGAACTGGAAAAGCCTTTACCAAGGAAACAGCGACATATATTGTAGCAATGGAAGTAATGATCAGTGTAAATAGTAATTTTAATAAACTTAAGTTTATTGATGTTTATGACAGATATAAAAACTGAATCATACAACTTACAAAGTATTCTGAAACTAACACCAAAACTTATTTACATGGACTAACAGAAAGTTAAGTATAAGGTAAAATTCTCTGTTTACAACTTTAATGTGTGTGAAAGTTATTAAAAGGATTATTAACTAAGCTGCCTCACAACTTAATTTTATAAATAATGAATTTTGAACCAACTTATTGCTCACAAGCATGTGCCGGACAGCTTGACTAACCATTAAACTCACTTATAGTCAAACAAAGTTTTTAACTGTAAATGTAATTAATGGACATTAAGTGTCTATTTTTTTATATTTTTCATCTTATATCTGACGTGGCAAGACAATTTCCACACACAGTTAACGGACTTTACAATCTCTTATATCAACTGATTTCTAACCAAGAAGTGAATGTAATAAAGGCCACTCTTCACAGGCTAAATTATGCCTGGAATATGTGGCCAGATATGGAGTTATAATTTCTCAGATAATCCAGAATATTATATAGTTTCAACTAGGTCAAGGATTTCTTAGTAGACACATTGTTCTTTTTTCCATATCTTTCGATATCTGCCGCATCTTCTTACATATACATTGCATTTGCATACTTCTAGACAAAATAAAAATAAAAAAGGGAATTGAAGGATAACAAAATTGAAAGTACGATACGCTTATTTAAATTAAAACTTTGCCGTCTGAATGATTAGATAAATGAACACACCAAAGACTGGAAAAACTTCACAAATAAATGTTGAATTCTATTCTATATTGTAATATTTACGAGGCATTTTTTATTTGGTCCTTGGGATGAATACTAACACTATATGTTATCTAGCATTTTTCTGAAGTAGCAATCCAAATTTAAAACATCTTTGCTATTTTCTGTCACTTATTACGAAACTGAGGAACTTGATTCTTAGTGGTTTCAATAAAAAATATTATTTAAATTTAGAGCTTCATTAGAGGAGAATAGTTATTATAAAAGCTTATTATCTATTATCTGCTATATTTTTCAGTGAAACTCCAATCCTTGTTCCGGCTTTGAGTCACTCCGAAACTGTAGCGTTCAACTGTTTCATGATGTATTCATTGTACGGTCAACCTAATGGGCATCCAAAGCGTGTTCCCATATCAACAGGTAAGCTTAATTAAACATACCAGTCTTAATTTTAAAATTTAGTGTTTAAACTTTAAGTAATTTATCAAACAATTTTGAAATTGTAAGAAACGAAGATACATGTATTTTGATAAACAGAATGTTAAAGAAAAACTTTTGCATGCATCTTTTCATGCGTAATGACAAAGCTCTCAAATACCGAAGCAGAAAAATTGTTTCAAATCCAAATTAATAAAAAAATAAAAATTGTGCTAAAAATGAGCAACGATTGAAAAAAAATCTTCACATAAATTTTAATATTTAGAATTAAATCATAAAATTTATGTATGTAATCATAAAGTGTGGTGTTGGTGTAAAATCTATATTTATTAATAATAATTATATTAATAATGTACATATATCCCTCAGCTGAAATGAAGCACCTTTAAACAGCTCTCGGTTTGATTCTGGTTTCAAATCGCGAATTGTGGATGTTAGTTGTTATGTGATGCCGTTGTGATGTAAATAATAAGTAGACAGAATTATCGGCATTATCAAATATGTTGGAGAGATGGGGGAAAATGGAGGCAAGTTGAAGGTAATCTCATGGGGTAAAACAGTATGGACTGGATGGTTTCCGAAATTTACCAATCTGAAACCTCCAAAATTCCGCGGTCAGTAATCGTTTTGGCGTGAGAGTACAGCTTCGTAAGTCGAAGACAGTGCGATTGCTGACTTAAGACCTTTCTTCGTAATGAACAGCGGTATCTCGAAAAGCTTTGTTTATAAATTCCCTAATCCTGGAATTTATGCAAGGCTACTTATTTGTGTCCTTCTGTGATGATTTAAAACATGAGCTCGGTTCAGTTGGGCTTGTAATGCTACAGTTGAAATATATATGAAAGACTTCAAGACTTATTTACAGACAAATTACAATTATTTTGAAATTTCTTTGCTCCTGATGAAGAGGAACTGCACCTATTTGGCCTCGAAATCGATAAATCTTCACTAAAATCTAAGCCAAACACAAGGTATTGCTTTGTTAATTTTGTTTTACTTTGGCGTGTTTCTCTTTTGTCTTGATTTTTGCTAAAAACTAGCATTTTCGGGAACGTTCTTCGAGTTTGGATCGTTTGACCACTTGTGCCCCTTTGAGCAGATTTCTTTGCTCCTGATGAAGAAGGACTTGCACCTGTTTGCTCTCAATTCTACGCCAAACACAGGATGTTGCTCTTCTAATTTTATGAAATTACGATTATTCTCCAAGCCTATTGTCGATAATGTTTGCTACTTAGAGAAAATGTGACCTGCCATTGAGAGGCAAACGCCATGGAAAAGCCTTTCGTTGAAAAGGCGCTTTCATGATGTGGCAACTATAGTAGTTAAATATTACATTCTGAATCACGTGTTCGCTGCTGGACCAAGAACTCTTATCCAGGTGAAATTTCACACACACATGCTTTTCTATTTGTCGTTGCTACGGCCATAGATTCCATGTTTGTGGATGATAATGATCACCGGCAAAAGGCTTACCTGTCTGAGAAATACTTGGAGGGAAATAATCTTTCGCATGCTGAATTCTGCTAGATTACAAAATCAGAATTCTGTACAGCGTGTATGATTTAATGTTAGGAAAACTTACTGCAAAGAAAGGAATTACTAGGAAAATTTATTACAGGTTTGAACTCGAGCAAATCAATCCCACCCCGTATTTTGCCCAGGTTTCGTCTTGTACTTTTCTACTTCTCTGTTTTCAATTAGTTCTGTTGAACACCCATTATCACCTGAAATTTTGTAATGACAAGAATTTTTGAGAACTCTCGCTTTAAAGGGGAAACAAATCATTCTCCAGTGGGTGCCTGGCCATTGTGGCTTTGGGGGCAATGAACAAGCGGACTTACTTGCAAAAAGAGCTGCCAGCTTACTACAGCATCCTAATACAGCAATTTCTTATTAGAGGATTAAACTGCTTTTAAAAAGTTTATTTCCGTCTAATATCTTACGAGATCTTCATACTCGTAGAGCGTTAAAAAGTTGGAGAATGATAAGTCTTTCTCTTATTCCCGATAGTCTAAGACGCAATGTAGTTGCGGCTTTCCACCTGTCTACAGGGCATGGTTGCCTTGCCGCCCACCGGCACCGCATTTCAAGGGATTCTCTTTGTCCACTTTGTAATTCTGGAAAGAAATGGACAAGGACCACATGCTTCGCTGGGGGCTCTTCGTGGTCTTACAGAAGAGTCGGGATACTGGGAAGCAAGGCCGCTCCTTAGGCAATGACTTCGGTCTTTTTGTTCTTAGTTCTATTGTTTGTAATATTTTTAGATCTTTGTAACTTTGCCTAGACATTGGAAATAAAAAAAAATTAAATAAAAAATTAAAAACACCTTTTCTACTGCCACAAAGCTTTATGAACCATTTTAGCCATTCCTGTGTCAGCCATTTCATTTCGCAGCCATTTAAAATGCTGTTACGTTAATGTTACTATCGACAATTTGAATGCTTTTTTTTGGCTCATCAAGTGTAAAAACTATAATTCGAAAAATGCTTTTTGGGAATTATTTTATATTTTGAAGCTAGGCAACAAATGTAATCTTTAAAATATTAAATTAAATTTTTATTATTCCGTTTTATTCGCTTATAATCTGTTTTTTGCACAATAGTGTGTTGCTGCAGAAAGATTAGATTGCCACGCAAAATGATAAATTAAATATTCCGAATTTAAAAGCATAATTTCTACAGTAAATGAACAAAATGATATTAAAAATGTTTGATAACTAAAATATTCAAATGTCTTTTGTTTCTTTTATGATGCCCTTTTTTAAAAAAGAAAATCTGTTTATATGGTATTTTTGTTGCAATTTTTCTTCTTAGATAAAATTTTAGAATTACCGCTGTTAGGCTTTGAAAGTCTGGTAGGCTTTGAAAATTTACTGCATATTATTGGTAGAAGATATTGATATATTGGCAGTTCGTAAAGGAGACAGCCATGAAATGTAGTGGACTTTGTTTAACATAACAATAGTGGCCAAATGGATTTAAATGCTGAACAGCGTTCGAATCCTGAGCGACTTACCGTGTGAGCTTTTCCATGGTTTCCTTCATGTGTAACATGAATACCAGCTAAATTCTCTTAGAAAATCATTCGCAAAATTATTTCTTGGATAGTTCAAAGATTTACTTAAACAAACAAAAAATTTTGGAGTAATTTTTTTATAATACTAGATTGTAATTTCAGAAATACTTTAAAATACGAAATTCTTTAAATAGTTTTGCATTCAAGATATGTCTCAAACTTTAAGCAATATTTTGAAAATATCATCACAATTGAGTTTATTGATTATGGATTTCAACTTCAAGTACTTAATTTTTCTCTCTCTCTATTTTAAAAATAATTAAAATTATTAAAAATTGTCATGCAGGGTTATTCAGTAAACACGGGCAAACGTCTGGGAAGTTAGGCGACGAAGGGAGGACACCTGATGCCAGCAGTGAAAATCAGGTATATGATCCTCGTTCTCCACTCTCTAGAGGCAAGGGCTCCGGTAATGCTCTTCAGGACACCCCACGGACGGATTAACTGAGAGATTGAAAATTACGAGGGTGGATATAAAAGAAAAGGTTTGCCATTGTAATAAAAACTACTTGTTAATAATCGACAAAAAATAAAAAAGGAATTAAAAAGCGTATTTTCCTATCATTTTTTCACATAATCATCAAATCTATTTAGGCATTTATCTGAATGTAGGACTTAAAACTGTTGCAGCAGTTCTTGAGTTAGTTGAGCAGTATGGGGCCTGCCATTGTCATGCAAGAGGAGGACTTTATCACTCAAAATGGCAAGGCACTTTCATCGGTAACCTCGTCAAAGTGTCTTCACGTAACCGTCAAAGTGGCACCATAAAGATCGGCAGTAACGGAATGGCTGCGCTCAATATACTGGATCAGGATAACGAATCATGGCTCTCACCTCCTAGCAAGACCACTTTTCTAAACATCTTGCCATTTGAATCGCTGTGATGCGTCTGCGAACTTACTCTACATAACCACACAGCCGCTGCTAGACAACTAGTGCCATCTGTCTATACTCTGGGATAAAGTATTCTGTACACAATAATTATTTTTCAAGTGCTGATAGCCTTTTTTTTTTTTTTTTTTTTTTGATCCACCTACGACCATTTACACTGTTAAGCAAGGGCTACAGAGGTCCTGTTGAAGTATACAGGATAGACAGCTGAAATACAGGTTCTTCTGGCTACATAATACAAATATATATGCATTACATAATATTCCTAATATTAATTAACATTCATTAAATATGCATAATCAAACATATTAAAGTTGCACAAAGACAAATCGGAATCAACTGGAGATGCAACGTTGGAAAAGGTTTCTTCATGCAGTAGATGAACCTGTGCTTCCGCGAAACTGCTCATACGTTATTTGAAGATACTTTAATTTATAAATCACCCACAGAGGTAGTAACATGCCTTGATTACTTCTCCTGGGAATACATTAAAAGACTGGTGTAGGACACTCCCATTGAAAAGTTATGAGAACGCTGAAGCACTCTTCTATGTGGCTTCGGGTGAAATCCGAGAACTGAGAATCAGGAATTTTCCAAAAGTCATGTGATTCCATAATTCGACGATATGATATATGTATGATAGTCGTAATGTTAAGCACCACTGACCTCATTCCATTCAGCAAATATCTTGTGAGATAAAAAGTATCATTTTTGTTCTCTTTCATTCCTGTTGCTTCTTATACATTAGGCATATCAAACATGCTGCTTTGACTCATTTTTGTGCTACCCTCGGTTCATTTCGAGGAAAAACCTAAAAGTATATAATTATACTATATTAATAGAAATTGGTATTTGAACCCATATCAAGTATATATACAAGCTTAGGCGCTGAAAAAGACTATAGAAATGATCGTTTTACAAAACTATTTTCTTAACCGACACTGAGAAACAATCAGCCCAGTATCAGATGATATTAACAGAAATTCAGCACGACTCAGTGCCCGCCATTGGAAAAAAAATGTCTCCAGACATCTGAAAGCTAGTTGTAGGACAAAATATGCTAGGTGTCAATAAAAAAACAATAGATATCCATTTAATAACAAGCTTTCATTATGTTCGTTCAGTTTTTTTAAAGCTAGGTTATTAGGAAAGACCTTTTTGTATTCACTGACTTGTAAGTACATTATTAAGTATGAAAATTATATTTTATTTCTTGCGCCTTGCCCTGTTGTAAATTGATGACTATTTCGCACACTCGGCATACTGAATATGACATGGCTGTTATACACTGTCACATGAAGATGGCGTTTCCGATTCTGTACTGCTACATGATTCCAGTTAATATTCTGCAGCTTACCTCTTTCAGGAGTTGTACACTGAACTAGTTGAATCATACTGCGCTTTAATGAGTTATTTGTACAGGATATTCGAAAACGATGCTGCAGGTTTTGTCTCTTTAAGTATTGATTATAGATATATACTTTCAGTGACAAAGCTTCTCAAAAGAAAGGAAGGATTTTCATAAAAATTATTTCAGCGCTATGGATAGAAAAGTTCTATAAATACATGAATGTTACCTAGTATATCGTCCATGTAGAACAGAATGTCCAATTAATATGACATTTAATATTCTTTAATAAGTTAAAAACTAAAAATTCCATATGCTTAGATAGAAAGTTCTCAGCGGTATGAGAAATTGATAATATTTACATCGGACCATCTATCTCCTTTTCCCATACATAATCAGTCGACAGAATATATAGGTTCAGTTTCTTTCTTCTTCCTATATTTGATCAAGAGGTCTAAAAGTTTGTTCATGAGTGGTGAAGTGACTTATTTCGTTCCGGATTATCCGAGAGAGAGAGAGAGAATTTTTTATGCAAAGTAGTAGAATGTTTTGTATTTAACTCATTAGCGCTTAAGAATATTTTAATAGCTGTTTCTGCTTTACTAGAAGCATATTAAAATTAGAATTTTAAGTTTAAAGAAGTCTGTCATCCATTCATTGAAACTGTAATCAGAAAACTGCGTACCTTATTTTGCAAAACGTTGCAAACAGAAATACATGTATAGGAAAAACATTCAAGGAAAAAAATTACAGCCAACTTTTAAAACAACCTGGATATATGTGACAAAATTTCAGGTTTAGGTCTTTGTACAGTTTAGTAAATTACTCAAGTTTGAATAAAATAAATGAATATTTCTCTAGTTTTTTTAAACTTATTACAGTTTTTTTATTATCTTCTGATCTTTGTTTAATTTTTTTAAATATTTTTTTCCTTCATTTTCAATGAAACGTTTATTGTAATTGCCTCCTCTTTATAAAATTAAGTTGTGTCTTGTAACATGCTCTTTTTTAAAGCAGGGGGATGATAAATGAAGAATTTGCTCTAACATAATTTCATGTTTCTTAATTAGAAAAATGTATACTTTTCAAATCACAGTCTTTATTTGTTTCATCATTCTCATTTATTCAATTTCCAGTAATAAGACTGCATATGAATCTGGAAATAGGAGAATATCATCCAAGTCATTTGTCACGTGGTGCGCAAATTAGCGTCCATTCGCCTTATCACGTGCCGTCCCCTATGAGTGAAGGATGGTTGCTCAATTTGGGAAATATATATAGGTTCTACACACGTTTGGTAAGTCCAGAGTCGACATGCAGCTTGTTTACAAATCTTCTAGAATATGTTTTGTGCTTTAATGACTAGTAAAGTTTAGCTTTTTCAACTGTTCCAGTTCTTCATTTCAAAAATGCATTCCTCAATTTCAGTACCACTAAGAGGGGAAATAAATAAATAAAAAAATATCTGAATTGGACATCACATGACCTCCTTGTATTGCTTATTAAATTATACACATTTTTTGCTGCATTTCGTTTAAACTTATTTCCTCGAATTTCATTAAATATAGTTCTCATTCCATTAATTTAGTTCTCACTTCGCGGCAAAGCAAAAATACATAAAATCTCAAAACATCTTCATTAAAAATTGTAAAACACAGAAAAACATAAAACACCAAATACAGTTAAAACAGTTAAAATAAAAGTTTTTACAACTAAAATTAGAGTTTCAGCTGAAAAACAAGCAATTCGGCCAGCGGGTAAGGAGGCACAATTTTCGGCGCACAAAACTTGAAGTTTCCTTTTTGTCCCATTGAAAAAAATATTGAAGGTGCAGAAATTGACTTAATTCACTACTCTGCCGAGTTTCAAATGTAAAAAAATGGCCGTTCATTAGGTTTAACTCGCCACTTAATCTTTTAAATTGTTGATAATTCTACAAATATTGAATGAAGAAAAAGCTTAACCGGAACATAAAAACCACATAATTCAATCACTTTTAAAGCAAAAGAGGCAGACTTTACCAACATATGAGAATTAAAAAACCAAGCTGACCGTACGATGTAACAGAGTAGGACTATAAATATATATACATGTTAATATATTAATATATTTATATATAATTGGTTCAGCCGATTGCAACGAAAAAGGGAGGTGCACAAATGCAGGGTATAGCACTCCTACATACAAAATTTCAACGCTCTACGGCTACTCCTTCCTTAGTTATGCGAGACATATACATATCTACGTATGTACAGACATCAAGATAAAAAAAATGGTATTACCTTTAGAATGATGGCTTATATAAGCCGTGAAGTCAGGCGGTCGGTTTCTTTTTGAGCCCAGAATGATTTACAAATAATTGAATCACAGAAATTAATAATTGAAAGAATATTAATAATTTAAATAATCAAAATTAATAAAAAAGCTATTTTTATTTTTTAATCCTAATATACATTGATCAAATTTGGCAATATCAATACTGAACTTGGGATTTTAATGCAGTTCTCTCTCTGAACTCTATATAACAGACAAGTCGGGATGAACAGCGTCGCCCTCCATTTCATCATTAACATTGTCGTCTTCCGTTTCGTAAATAATATCATTTGTAATTCCATCCATAGCATTGCTTATATGATATCGTTCAACGATCGGAAGATCATTTCTGGCCTCTTTTTCGAATGGATGAAGACGTGGCAATCACCGTCAGATAAAGCGAGTTAAAGAAAAAGTTAGACGACCAGTCATTTGAACTTTCCGGTGTAAAGCTGAATTTATAGAAGGCTTTTAATGATTCAGCTAATACACGAGTTTTCCTCTTGGTTGAATGCTTGCAGCTCATCTTACCTGTTGGCTTATACACCGGCCGACTTTATATTATAATACAGCATACATTATATAAACCGTGCGCATTTTCAATACTTATAAAACGACGCACTAAAATTATATTTGATTGAAAACGGAAGATATAGCTACATGAAAATACAATTTCTTTTATCATTTTTTGTGGGTAATTTCTTCTTGCGTTTTATTTCTTGCAGTGATGCTGGTAGTCGTCGCGCGTCGGGAGACTCAAACTGAAATAGCCACTTATGATGCAGTAACACAATTATTTTTTGCACTAGAATTCAGTAAAACGAAATCTGTTACAATGGTTCAATATAATTTAGATCGAACATCAGAAAAATACCTCCAAGCAAGAAACACATCTGTGATAAAAATGAGAAATTTAAAACTATAACTTATTTATTCGAAAGTCTCTAAAAAACTCAAGGAAACTATTATTTAACTGAATTTGTTCGATGCACCTTTCAGCAAAACGCAAGGAAGTCAGTCACATGAACGAGTCTCGAACTTCAGACTCCAAAGCCTGCATTTTGAAAAATATTGCGAATGCGTTAAAAATTCGTTCCACAAAAACTAAACATTGCAGTCCGTCAGTAAGCTTGGCAAAATAAAATAAGCTTTCTTTATTGTAGATGTGGATATTTTGTTACCAAATAGTAAGACATAATAGTGATCGCATACATCACTGAATGAAATACTGGAACAAAATTCATATCTGCATGCACATACACCTTTATCGCAATATCTTTGACCACATTTTTTATTAAATTATTGCATCCGTGGATATTGCTTAAACCACCTATAAATATTGATTTGGCTTCATGTGATTACGGCAAAGCTTCAAGGGCTATGTGCATAAGGGAAGGGATGCTTTCGTGGAGGACTTTCTAGGGGAAAGTGGCTCATATACACAGTGCGCATTTTCAATACTTTAATACATGGGGGGAAACACGAAAACGTCCATGCAGCTAGCCCGTGTGTCGGGATTCGAGCCTCGGACCAACTACCAGTGTTCCGCGACTTTACCGTTCGGCCCATGGTGGCCCCACCTGTTAATAATGAAACCAGAAATAATGCTCCTTTCAAGAAAAACGGTGATTCTTGAAGCATCAAAAAGTAGATTCTTATGAATCAGTTTCGGTATATTGCGCCTTGACACTCAGACCCTTTTGAAGAAAACAAAATTGTTACTGTGCCAAATTCGAAATGAAGCCTCTCTATATTTTATTTAGCTACTTACTTGTGTCTAAAATAATAAAACTGAGTAATAGTTATTTCACACAAATCGAAATATGTGTATCTTATAGTATTTCGTTTTGTGAATTCAAGTAAGTGATAGGAATTTTGCTATGATGGACGGATGTTTTGTAACACATAGTTAAATATTAGATGCATATAAAAGTAAAATTTATATGTGCATTGAAAATAGAAATCATTTGAAAGATGGATGTGTAGGAATTTTACGATACTTATGCTTAAAAGAATAAATCTGTTACGGATTCGGCAGAAGGAACCAAAGTGTGCTCCAATAGCCTTGTTATCTCACTTGCATGTCAGAAATGTTCCTGTGCATACATTTATTATGCTTTTCTAGCCTTGTTTCATGTTAATCAAGAAAGAAATATAATGGAAAGCACAAGAAATGAAAGTCTAAAAAACGAATTGCATCTCAAAGCTTTACTTAACTTCACGAGAACACCCATTATTCTTTTATGATTTTCGGTCTTACCCTTCCTCAAAAAAGTTTTAAAATTTTATAAAAAACATGCATGTATATTTTTTAATTGGATTCAATTGTCAATCAAATTTTTTGACCACAAAATAATTTTCTAGTTCGTGGTCTCTCTGAAATACCCCGTTTGACTTCTAATTTGTTTCTCAAGGAGGCAAACTAAGCACTAGCTACATAAGACACTATTTATATGTTAAAAATAAATAATTCAAATCATTGTAAAAATTAAATAGATAAATAAAATATAAATAAATAAATAAATTTGTAAAAATGTTGTAAAGAAATAAAAATCCGAAAAGTTTCAGATTTTAAATTACGTCCAAAGGAGCGTTTTTTTAACATTTTATCTGTTACCTTTATTTATTAAATATCACGTTCTTCGCACTTAAACCATAAAATTCAGTTCAAGAGCAATATCGCAAAATAGTTTTAAATTGAGCATATTTTTAGAATTCCGACACAGAGTCTCGCGCGTTGGAGATAAAAATGTTTTTTTTTTTTCTGTACAACCTTGCCATTGCTCGCTTTGAAATCCTTGAGTCATATTCGCAGTAGGGATTACGTCATTCAAAATTCGATGGCTCTATGTACCGTTGGTTTATCGCAATGCGAGAAATATACATACATTTATGCAGATTTTTCATTAGTCCTATAGGGACAAAGCCCCTTTGGACTAAAAAATAAAACGTGGACGAAAAAATTATGTACACTAACCGATTGCGATTCAAAGACATACATAACAGCCGTTAAACAAAATCACAAGCTCAAAAAACTTTCAAAATCACAAGCTCAAAAACCTTTATTAGTGGTACACGTTTTTTAACTTTACATTAATTTTTCAATCTGTATCTGAAATTACTGGACGGAACATTTTCCTAACATCAGTAATGGAAATCAGATTTATGAAAAAAAATATCTTGATGAAAATATAGATGGATAAAGCGATCTGTGTATTATATGGTATAAATAAAGGATTCTCAACGGGTAGTACGCAAGAGAAAAATAGGAGGTACGCAAAGAAGCAGTATTTTTAAGTATTAAATTCAAAAAATTAAAGCCCCAACGTCCTGATTGAGTTTTTTCTCTCATACTCGTAAATTTATGAGATCTGAGCTTTGTTCAAGAGTAGTGGTGGTACTAGTACTTTGTAGTGGTGGTACTACAGGTTTTAAATTTTTGTTTAGATGGTACGCGTTAGTCAAAAGGTTGAGAACCGCTGGTATAGATTGTTAAAGTGATTTTATCTGCGTATCATTAATGTACGCTACTAATTAGATCCTTTGATTTATAATTTATCGGCGAAAAGAAGATATATCGAATCTTTATATTTGATATTATGTTTTAAGAAATTTAATTATTGAGCCAAATATCGCAGGCATAGGCAGTTATATAAGAAACATCGTAGGAGAAAAGCCACATATACAATGTCTTGAAAAAGCGGCACTTATTTAAAAAGGAGCGTTTACAATATGCATTGGATGAATGTATTCTATCTTGGCAATGAGTTAGCCATTACAATTCAGGTTAACAGAATAGTTTGAAGGATTTTAGCATTTAACATTGGACTTTACAAATCTTTAATAAATGTAAGAAGTTAATATATTCGTACTTTAAATACATTCGTTTAATCCAAAACTTCTAAGCAAAACTGTAAAGTGGCACTTTCGTAAACAAGTATCCATAGTTTTTCGGTTTGAAAAACTTCCTCGCTGTTTGTCACTATGATGGATAATGAGCATTCGGAGCCCCAGTATAATAAATTCTCCTATTTTGCTTGCGTATCGTGAGTAATCAAGGATATTCTATTTGCTAGTCTTGAATTTTTAATCGTGCTATACATTATCACAGAAGACAACACTGATGGATCATTCATTACATCGCTAGAAGAATCTCGGCGAAACATCCATCAAAACTGTAGCTGTATGAATCACACCTCGCCGACAAAGAATACATTATGTGTTGTTTCGAGGAAAACATTCCACATGAAAAACATATTTTTGGGATAATTTAACACAGTTGTTTTCCAGATTTGTCTGAATTATTTATTTTGCTTCTGATGTGAAAAAGGAAGATGCGCATTCTAGCACACAAATTCATTTTAAATTTAAGTAAGAATATAATCCCGTAAAAGAATAGAATCGTATAAAACATAAGCCGCATAAAATATAATGATATCGCGAGTTTTGAGTAACCTATTTTGAAGAAAGTTTATGATTTTATTTACTCATACGTATACAAGTGTGAGTACTGAATAAAAATCGTAATTTTAACTTTTTCTTTAAAACCTTTTAATTCTCTTCAGTTAAGATACATTGTTTTCGCCTTTCAAAGACTGCATACTTGTTGTGATAAGTTTTCATTTAATTATTTTTTTAATTCCTGTGGCCATTTAAATTTTTAAATACTTTTTTATTTAACCGTTTTTCTAATTACACATAACACTTTATTGATATTAAACAGATGCTCTGGATAACATTCATTACAAATTAGAATTTTATTTTTCCAAATAAAGCTTTATAAGATCTTATCTAATAATGTCAAAATTGAAAGTTTGAATTCGCTAATAATTTTACAGTGATACGGTACTGTTGAAGAGAAATGAAGCCGCTCGCTCAATCAAAATTCTTCCGTCACTTTCTCTGTCATCAAGGCCTTAAAATTTGTATAAGCATTTTTTTCTTCAATCATATATCTTGTATGGATGTGCCTTACTTTTCAGATACTTATTTCGTTTTATGATTTTATGCTAATTACGTGAAATCTCAAAGTGATGAATCTGTGAGTGAGCATGTGAGTTTGTCGTAAAGCGCTGACACAGATAATCCAAAGACTACAAAAATTGCTATATACACATTGAACGGAGAGTGAGGGTGAGCATTTCAAAGCGACTTTTTCAAAATCCGAATTTTTTTAAATTTTAAATTTTGAAAGATTTCCTTAGGTTTTCAGACATATTTTCGATTATGCAAATAACCCCGGAATTTCTTGTTCCATCGCATAAGATGAAAAAGGCTGTTTGTTACATGAAATTTTTTTCCGAACTTTAACATAATTTACGGATATTTTTTCGATTTTTCAAAAATAACTCAATTTTTTTTTCATTCTTCAAGAAAGTTTACTATTCGAGACCTTTGTTGTTCATCACGTGATCATAAAAACGCAATTTCGACCCAGGCGTGTTTCTGCCATAACCAACTCTATACATACTCTATACATGATACAGTCGGCTGTGGTTTCTGCGATATCACGCCATCACATGCCACATTACTTTCTCCTTTGTTTTCCGAATACTTTCTTTCTTTCTATCCGCCAACATCGAGGCAGCCGATCCACTGGGGCAGTTAGCATATCGGCCAGGCTGACGAAATTAACTTGGTTCACATAACACACTTTGGTGCATATTGAGCTCAAGACGGGTCCAGCATTTGTTTGCACAACAAATGCTGGACGAGTCAATATGCAATGGTGGAAGAAGGGGGCATTGCGGGTAAGGAGAACTATGCTTTAACTGCTTTTCACATTTAGAGAGTAATAGATAGGTGGTTACAACTCAAGTGCTGTCAATAGACATCCACAACGTGAACAATAAATGAGTACTGTGGATAGTTAAAATACAGGTATAACTGAGTTATAATCAGCTGAATAGTGCATTAATTATGAATATGATCAATTAACAGAGTGACTGATAAAAAAAGTAAAAATAATGCATTAAATAAGGCAAAATACATAATTCAGGGTTCACAATTTAAGGAAACAGAAAAAACAGAAAAAAACTAAGTAAAATAAATTAATTACAAGTATATACGGGGACTGTGCTGGTGACGAGGATGACAGCTGAAAATTTTTGCGTGCAATATTAACGCAATTGCATATGCGTTTCAAAGCATAGCGATTTTTCAAAGTAACTTCGGCCCGGGTACTAATTTTTCTTTCTTTTTGCTATTTATTTTATTTATTTATCTGCTTGGAATTTACTTTCTTGTATAAAATAAAGGAAGTATCGTAATCGCGAAAAATTTCGGGTATAATATTTTAAAGAAAATATCCATTTGACCGCTCTCGAATCCATTTCAACGATCTTTTTGCGTGTCATCTGTACATATGTACAGAATAAAGGACTCTTTTTCACAAAATAAATTGTAAAATGAATTTTAAATGAATTCAGAAGAGAACTTTTTTGTGACGTTAGTACGTACGTCGGTTAGTACGTATATATATCTCGCATAACTCAAAAACGAGTAGCCGTACAAAATTAAAATTTTGTATATGATACTGCAATAACATGCAGTTGTGCCCCTCCCTTTTTCGTTGCAATCAGCCGTATCAAACGTGTATATATATATATACATATATATATTGAAACTCGGTTACCCATCTCAGTAAGCTCAATTTTTTATTCTTATATATTGGTAAATTGTGCACTTAACACATAATTTCCGTTTAAAAGCGATTGAATAATGTTGCTCTTATATTACGATGAAGGTTTTTATGCCTTAAGCTAATCTGCATGCAATAGTTGTAGCATTATGAATAGTTTAAAAGTTCAAGGGAAGTTAGGCCTACGAGGCCACCATTTATCTACATTTGAAAAACGCTTAGTAGAATAGTGAATTAAGTCAGTTGGAGCACCAACTTCAGTGTCTTTCTGCACAGCGTGAACAAAAGTAAACTTTCAATTTTGTGTACCGAAAATTTTATCTTCCTGCTGGCTGGCTGAATTGCTTGTTTTGGCGCAAAAACTCTAATTTTACTTGCAAAAATATTTTTTTTAACTGCTTTTAACCGTGTTTGGAGTTTTAAATTTTTTGTATGTTCCAACTTTTAATGAAAATTGAGTTTTTGTATTTTTGCCATGCTGCAAAGTGAGAACTAATTAATTAGACGTATCACGTTTAATTAGACGTATCTCAAATTTAATACATTTTTATTTAAATCAATCATCAAAAGATAACATTAAAACATCAACTCGTTTTGGGGAATGCAGTACAAAACTTTTGTCCAAAAAATATGGATAGCCATTTCGCCATTATGTATTTTTCGAATAATTCATAGGAATTATTTATATTACGAATAACGACGCATAACATTTTAAAGCAAATGTAATTTCTTAGTACGTAAATATATCTACACTACAGTAAATTTACATGTATAGGTTATTTATATTAACATTTACATATTTATACTTTGCAAAATAATGAATGATCTTTTGCATTTTATAGCAGCTCTTTTAAGAAAGGTATGGCGTGACACCATTTGATGAGTTGTATTTATGAAAGTTATCCCTTGGATAGATATTTCAGATTTCACCATTTTTGGCACGAAGTATGCAGAGATTACTTGTTTTCATTATGAAATATGCATTTACCTCTGAAGAATATAAAGTATTTATTTAAAAAACATTTATGGTGATTGATATTATATTTACTGATTAATTTTCATGAGTGAAATTTACTTGGTAGGGTTAACAAAATAAAAAAATGTTTTTTTTTTTCTATCTATACGACTGCAGGAGATGGGATGATACAGAAATAGGTTTTTTCAGCGAGTCCTCATCTGAACTTTGAAGAAACAATTTTATTTTAGGGATATGACAAATTTTTAGCTTTCGAAGTCAAGTACTTCCTGAGCTTAATTATGAGATACATAAACTCTGTAATGCCACTTTCTGTAAAATAAGCACAGTAATTCTAAACAGTCTCTTACAGTAATCATAAATTGTATAACAAGACTACGCATTTGGAGTTCGACAACATTTATTTTTGGGTATAAATATAATACGAACAAACCTTGTATTCATACGTAGTGAATAAGCACACGGAATTAATTAAAATGTGAAAAAATTATAATTGTACAATTGAAATCATTTATATTATTACAGACTCGTCAGATTTTGCTTCCTCCTCCATATAAAAGCAACTGTCGAGATTATATGAAAGAATGGAAAGCAAATGGCGGAATGGGGCCAATGACTCAGAAAGTAAGTCGCAGTCTCAACAATCTCTCCAAAATATATATAAGTTTTATTTTCGATAATACATTTCGGATATTCTTTTTACTCGTAATATCAAATAAATCTGTGATTGAATATCAGTGTAATTTTACAAAGTGAAAATGCCTGTTAGCTCTTAAGTACAGAAAACCATCTCGAGGTGACCACCTTCCTCAGACGATTACTTCTTAAAGTGATCAGTATTACTGAAAATATAAATAAACATCGTTATTGAGCATCGCCTTTCAAAGCTACCAGTTTTATAGAAAAATCAGAATCGTCCGGAATAATGAGACGTCATCTTAAGGAGGATCCACTTTATTTCCATCTTTAAATTATATGGTACAATGAAATTTCTCTAAAATGATCACCCAAGGTTCCAGACCATAAATAGTCTTTCTATGGAAGTGCTCCCCTTAGACATGGTGCACTCAATATCGATGTTTATTTATGCTCTTGGTAAGTCAAATTAAGACATATCCCGTCTTAGGTAAAGGATCACCTATAGAGGATTTCCTGAAACTTATTTTTTAGATGACACTGCTGATGAAAAAGTGATTTTAAGAGCTCCAGATACTATTTCTGTTTAATAACAGAAAGTTTTTCTGTTAGATATGATATATGCTGTGGAAAGGATTTCGGAATGAAGCATCATTGAAAAATTTGTTCCACCCTTGCCAGGATATCAAAATCCGAATTACTGAATTACTTTATGAATTTTTTTAACCATTAACAAGAGTGCAAGATAGGAATGTCTCCAAGTTTTTTACAGTTCTCTCACATAAAAGGGCGCTGGAAGACGGACGATACTCAGTAAACCAGTTCAAGACCCATGACGGGTTATTGCCCACGTTTCTTAATTCATCCTCTAGCTGTGGAGAGAGAGAGAGAGAGATAGAGAGAGAGAGATAGAGAGAGAGAGGAAGTTGTAACCAGGAATTGTTAAAAAATTAGTCGTATCGAAATGCTGATATTCAAAACAAAAATATTGGCAAATCTATTTTTTTCCAGTGACTGAATAGCATTTATTTATTTATTTTAAAGTTCTTTTTTTTTTTTTTTTAGTAACATTAACTAGCTGTTCTACAACGGCGCTTTCACAAGCAATATATCAACAGCATAGATTAGCTTCCTATCTTCTTTCAGTGGAACGTTAGGCAACCCAGAGGAACAAAACAGTTCCTTTGAATATATATTCTATAGTACAATAGAAAACATTTTATCATTCAGTTTAAGAAATCTGAATATAAGTTGCGAACGTTTTTTCGTGGAGCATTCGCAACATCAGTAGTTGACCACGTAATAAACGTTTCTGGCGGGAAAGCAATAATTCTTTTGAGAGATTCTGCATAAATCTTTCTTGAAATTTTTAAAACATTTGATTTATGGTTTATTCTAGTTTCAGATAATTTATTCCGTATATTGTGAATTTTATTCATATACTTTATCAACGAATATTGATGCTTGAGTTCACCTCAAGAATAAAGATTTATTTCAAAATTTTCTTCTTTTAATGTAATGCACTGAAGCTAATAGTTTTAATTTTGAAAATGCATACCTTACTCTAAAGAATAAAATGTATATATCAAAAAGGAAAGCTGGAAAATATTTCAAGTTCGCTATTCATTTCTTTTCAAATTGATTCAAAAGATTGGTGAATCTTTACATTATGATAACTTAACGATTTTTTGGCGAAAATTTGGCGACAGCAACCTGCTAGTTTTGTTTTGGACGCCATTTTGTTTTCACGAAGTAAAGGCTTTTTTTTTTTTTTTTTTTTTTTTTTTTTTTTACTCAACATTTTTTTCCAACAATCTGCTAGCCGAATTACGCTTATACCAGAACTTTTATGGAAAAAAATGCTTAATTATGACGAAGATTAGGTGCGAAATTGGGAGAAAGTGCAAAATCTCAAACTGCTTGCCGCGTTTTTAAGAATTGCACATAGACGGTATCCATATACACGTCGACCTATTTTCACTTAAAAAATAGGATTTTGTGTTTTAAAACATCACTAATTTGTAGCTAGGTGCGCTGGGTCGAGGTTCGTAGTGATTTTAAGCAATAATTGCATGCTATTGAAAGCGCTGTATATTCAGAAATTTTGTAACAGAGGTGTACAACATATAAATTAAGTTATGGTAAGCTGACATATCACGGGTAAGCGATTTATGTTGCTATATTAAGCTCTGAGCTCCGGGTTAAGCGTTAAGCGTTGAACGTTGGTTAAGCGTTAGGTGTCAAGTTGTTGAGGTAGCCGAACATTTTTTTTAAACGTTTCTAATAGTTTAACTAAAAAAATAATTTATCAATTAATTTTATTTTAACACAATGCTTTTGCAGATTCTTTGATCAAATAAAATAACATAGTACATTAGTACTAACTTCGGCTAGAGATCTCTATTAAATCGATTAACTAAAAATAATCGATAATTTTTATACACATTGAGAAAGTCTTGAATTGTGTCGCTGTGACACTGACTGCCGTAGCGATGGGCCCCGGTTTCGAATCCCAGAGAAGGCATGGTTTTAACTCTCCGTCCCCTTCATAGAAGGCAACAGTGGCCACCTGTAGGTGCTTCCATAATGAAGTGGCCCACACTTCCGGCACTTGTAGTGGTGAAAGGCTATTAAATAAAGCGCCCAGCCATTTGAGAAAACAGTCTTGAATAATAATTCATTTTTTCATTACCTATAAACTACTATTAGCATTTTGCCAAGGTTTCAAAAGTATTTCTTCATCAACTTAAGTTTAGTTGAGGAATTTTATCCATGGCTTATGAAACTTCTTTGTAGGTTAAGATATCTTAGTCTTTTTAATTGTCCCTACTAGGAGAGCTAATACATTTCTCTTCTTTTATTATCTCCTTGTAAAGTATATTTTAATTTTATAACAGGTATTTTAATTTAGTTAACCTTTCCTATTACTCCTCGTTTCAACTTACAGAATTAGTTTTTAGAATCGCGTTGAATGCAAATAAGACATAGTATTAAAGCAAACGTACTTCGAGAGAGAGTTAGGAATCCTGAGTAGCGCGCGTTTGCCTTTGGGCTAAGTCTCTTTAACTGCTATTACGGTCGACCGTATATTATGGGCCTTTCTGATAGTTCGCCGGCTAGTTTAGATTATGGGCTAACTAAACTACGTTAGAACTGCGTTAGCTTCGACTAAATCTCTTAGTTATAGTTAGTTCCATGGAGGTAGGAAGTAAGATGGAGTTGCCCTAAACAAGTTTCTCCCGTACCCTGCTCTGAAGCACCGGCGATCCCTACGTGGTGACCAAAACATTGAGTCATTTACCATTGAGTTCAATGGGATTTGACGCGTTCGGATGTAAATATTTTGTAATTACGTCGTAATATACATATAAATGTATATATTTCTTTTTCTACAACACTTCAGAATCCTAAGTATATGAAAACAACGTATTTTTAAACAACATTTCATTCTGAACGGAATTAAATGCTATACTTTTCACAGGACAGTTTTCTCAGAATGGTTTAATTTAAATGAAATATTTTCACAAGTTTTCGTTAATTACATTAGAAAAAAAAATTAAGGTAATTCGATTTTATTCGGTTAAGGTACAAAAAAAATTAAGACCAAAGTTTATTGTATTATTAATATTAAAATTACGCATTATTTCTTTTCTATTTATAGAGCTTCTTCCTAAAATACTTTATTAAATATGACATGATTTTTTGGCTTCTGAGGCATCTTTTAAATCGAAAAATGTAAGTCAATTTATAATTAATGCTCTATTCCGTTCATTTTAAATTAGAGAATTATTAGGAATTAGCGAAATACTTTAAATAGTACTTGACTTTCTCTGAACATTTCTGAAAGGGAATAAAATAAGTTTTTTTTTTTAAAGTATTATTTAAAACTTGTAACTGAGTTATTATAAAATGTAACTGAGTTATTATAAATATTATAAAATGTAATTATACTTATCAGATTTTTTTTACCCTTCATTTCAACAATACATATTCCAAAACTCTTTATTACTTTCTAAGTGTGCATCTCATAGCATTTGCTTTACAATACCTTTTAACAGATTGCTTTCCAATACGAACAATTCTTGCTTAAATAGTTTTATAACGTATTTGTCAACAGGATTTCAATTTATGTTTACAATTCAATATTAAGGTTATTATATATTTAGATAACATTTATAATCATTATAAATTAGATACATTTAATAATTAGATTTCTTCACAGTACTTTCACAGTTGTTTATAAGTGAATAAATTCTTCATTTCAAATACATTTATAAATAATTTAATGAATATTTATGTATTCTGTCAAAGGCAGATACATGCTTTTTGCAATAATATGCAACAATATTATACGGATGTGAAAAAAATTTGTTTTATTTAAAACATTTTGGCGTTTGGAAAATAAAATAAAAGTAGCGAATACTCTATCAAGGGTATCGAAAGACGTATACAATTTTAAATGTACCGTAAGGTATTTTTCATTCTTTAAGCATAACATTTTCTTAAATCTAGATTTTTGTAGTTCAACAGTTTAGAATTTTATAAAACAAATTCATAATCAAAAATCGCGCTGTTGTTAGTTATCGAAAAATAACCAAGATGTGATTTTTGCGTAAATGTCACTAAACTATACAAATTGCTATTATCCATCACACTATGAATGTTTCTTTCATGCGAAAGTGTCCCTTTTTCGATGTGTATGGAACTGTCGTGTGTCGAAATACTATCAGAACCGTGTCAAGCGAGCTTCTGAATGTAAACAAAGAACACCCCATCTGGTGACCCAAAGCTTCAAAGTAGTGCTTCACTTCTAGTGCGGACTGGCCCCTCCTTCCTTTCCTACCTCTATGGTTAGCTCTTATTTCTTATTTTTGAGTTCAAGTCCGAGAGGAGGCTTTGTCGTAAGCGCGAAGAAAGGGGCCGACTGTTCATCTTATTTTGACTGAAATAAAGGGTAATTAACCCTTCTTGAGTTTACAATTTTAGTTCTTTGAACTAAGCGATGATTCGCTGAAAGTTCACTAGGTTCCTCGACATTTAATCTAGCAGAATCAAAGTGAGGAACTCTACATCCTTATCCATAAGAACATTGTAAAACGTCACGCAGTGATTATAACTTGAAATACGTTTTATAAACTAATTTCAGCCATTTTCTCTTGTTGGCAAAAACAGTTAGGTAAAAAAGACCTTCATCGAAGCAGGTATCTGTTGCGCGATATCAAGTTTACAAGGCTTATCTTCACATTAGACCAAAGAGACGCTTAAGGAAAACCAAGTTGCCCGAAATGTCGATTTAAAACGACATAAAAGTTAATGAAAGTTCCAATGTTTTTAGGTTAAACTGGAAGAATGATGTTTAAAAATCATTTGCTTTAATGTCTAATATTTAGTTTCTTTTAAATATAGATGTGTAAAGTGAAATGCAAGCTGGACAAATCACTGTACCTGTATGGCTGTGCGGATCCTTTTATAGACTACCCCCATAATGAAACCATCTGTGATCATGGTGAGAACTTCATTTGAAGGAAGTTTACGTAATTCCATTCTATTAAAAAAGTGTTCGATCAAGGTGTTCAAGGAGTTGAATATGTTTCAGAAAGCACAAAATGTTATTTATCAAGTCAATGACGTAAATGAAAAGCTCTTTAAACAAGACAAGATCTGTAGCACATTAGTACCACTTTATTAATGGATAATATTTTCCAAGATATATCACTTTTAAATTAAAACGTGAATGAAAACGAACGTTGAACATGATGATGTGACATTAATATAATATGTATTACATGGTGATTAAAGAATATCCGGCTGAAATATAAGAACTAGTAGAGGGGACCGAAATAAGCAGATTTTATAACAGAATATGCGTGTGTCAAATTGACACGTTGTTGAGCGACAGGTAATAAATAGTACTCTGCTGCGGTAAATCGAGCCACCGAGCGGCTTTTGAGCGTTATGTATGGCTATACGAATCTGAAGTTCGCCGGCATAGACCTTTATTCATGGAGTTTCGACTAAAATGGAGCAGTCACTCAAAGAAAGTACAAAGAACGATTCCTAAATATCTTCTTTAAATAGTTTATAGAACCTCGTATTTTTAGGGAGCGTAAACTAACAGGTTCTCAGAAGATTGTATGAAAAATTATCCCCAGGACTTTACAACAACAGAAAGGTCAGAGGATGGATGTAAAGGACCCTTTATTCAATCACATATATTTGAACAGATGGCCACACTTGCTCTTACGTAAAGCCAACACTTCTGGCTTAACTCAAACGGGTAAAGTTGAACTTCAAAAAAATGTAATTAAAGTAGTCTAATGGCTCGCAGAATAATTTAAACGTGCAGGAAGGCTCTGACTCGTAGAAGTCGGCGGAAACAAGTAGAAGGCTAGAAGCACTCAGCGCCTCACAATCAAATCGCTCGTAGTTCAGAATAGTAACGTGGTCTTCAAACAGGCATAATACGCTCTAAAAAATCACCTTTCGAAACCTTCGCTTAATTAGTACTTCTTTCTACCTTAATCTGAATAATCGCGCGTTATCTGATTAGCATTCTGGCTGGAGAGCGTGGGTGAAAAATGAGAATAAAAGGAAAGTTGCTTTAACTAAAATTTAACTGTTAGTGAAAATAAAGAAATAAATCCTCACAAGCTCTTCAGTTTAAGGCGCATTTCTTTAGATAAAATGCATATCGGCGTTCTCCGCGTTCGTGCAGCGATGTATTCCTCTAGAAATCCACACAAGGAATGGCAGTTTAAAACAGTAGAAAGTTGTAACTTACAACTCAAGAATACTCTATACACTCAACGCGCTATTTCGGGGCATGCATTCCATTACAAAATCTAGTTATTTCGCTCCGCTCTAACAGCCTGCATATTTTTGTCAGACATTTTTAATCACCCTGTAACACAGCAAAAGCGATAATTTTAGCATAACACATTAGAAACTCAAAATAAAGTAATAAAATCAAATAATTAAGCGTATTGTAAACTCCAGTGTAAGTTTAGACCAAACAATTTAACAATTCGTCATATTTTCAAAGGATATCTTATCATTTTTCTTTTTATTTTAAGAAAAGTAAGTAACGGGTTAATCGAATATTTGACAGATTAGATGAATGTCCTTTCGAAAAATGAAATAATCTTGTTGAACCCATGGTGCAAAGACTTGATTCGACCGCTTAGTTCTTAGAAAATATATACTGAATAGGAATCGCTCATCTGAACACATATTTAAAACTGTTAACATTAAGACTTTTTAAAAATTTTAAATATGATATCCGACTTTAAGAAATCAGAAATTTGGAATGTATTAAAAACTGGCATTAAAAAAGCAAAAATCTAAATTTTTATAAAATTTTTTTTTAGAATTTCTAAAAAATTGAACGAAATTTCGTCTGAATATCAACTGTGTAAACCAGTTATAAAAAATTTTTATATGCTGGTTTCTGTATTTACTAAATTATTCCTCGTCCTAGACTGTAGAAAAAGTAGAAACTCTGTTGATAAAACGTTAATATAAACTGTCATCGCAGCTTTGTAAAGTATTTACTGGAAGAGAAGGCTTCTCATACCATAATTTTCATTTGAAATTTGAGATGACATATTATTAATTTAAGCCACATGTCTTACAATTTAGCTTTCCCTTTACATTTCTGAATGTTGGACCCTCTTAATAATATTGGACTCTCTTCAAGTTGTACTTTCTTAATAACAACGTAATTAACTATCAATAAACAAAAACATCCATTTAATGCATTATGTTTTTTCATAGCTTCTAATTAATTTATAGCGTACTGCTGCCAGTTTAGTTCAGTGAACTTCTTAAGGCTGGATTTGTTACAGTCCTTCGAGGAATTCTCGATTATTGACTTAAATAACGAAATTTGAATAGCCAAAAGCAGAAAAATGACAGACATCCGAAAGATTTAAAGGCGAACATATAACTCAAATTTAGCATCAAAGCAAGACGTGAAATATTCGCTGCAGTGGTCTGCTTCCCGTATTCCTCTTATTAATGATTTAAAAAAAGATGAAGTTACAGAGAACGAACGACACTCATCATTTTTGAGGAAATGGAGTTTATTTAATTTCTTTATTAGTAGTTGCAAGGATGGGGTCAAATACATCAGAATATAGAAATGTTGTGCGTATGTTGAGGAGATTTGAAAACCACTTTTTAGAAGAATTCGTTTCCACTTTCTGAGTTTAGGAGATGCTTTCTGAAAATTGCTGTTGCGAATACGTTCAGTTAATCCAAATTTCTAACACTGGAATTTATTTGCATAATTATTCATCATACTATAATTAATCTCTGTGAACTGATAAATATTTAAAGCATGCTTCTAATTATAAATTTAAATTATTGTTTAAGGTTATTTATGGTTAAAGTTATGGTTGACGTTATTTAGGAAATAATATATTTTATCGGAAAATGTTATCAAAGTAGGGATGCTAGGCACTAATTATTTTAGCTAGAATTAAAAAATGTTATTATTTAAATTTGTTATAGATTTTAATCATAATTTCTTTAATTGGCTCAGAATTCAAAATACATTACATATCGTGTATAACGTAAAGTACAATTTTACTGCGCTTCATAATTTCCTATGTAAGTTTTACAGAAATAGAATTTTAAGGGAAGCGTGGAACAGGCAAGGTTACAAACAAGATAAAATGTCTTGTTTCAAGAAGTCATTTTACTGCTTTATGTGTTGAAATGACGAGAACAGAGGAACATTCAATATTTATTTCGTTTAAATCCTCTTCCAATATATGTTATAGTTTTTTTAAATAAACATATCTGTTTGAAACTAAGACGAATATTATTAACCAACCAAAACATTAAAATCATGTAAATATGATGTACTTTCTCCACTTGCCGCCGATATTATTAATCGACAAAGAATAAACTCAGAGAGACTGTTTATGTCAATAAACTGGTAAGTAGGTTGCAACGAGCAAGTGAGTGTGAGCTGTGAGAGTTTGTTTTACAAGGATAATAGCACGGCATCCAAACGAAAATATGTTATTCCACCGCATTCCTACCCAATTGAGATAATGTATTTAGGAGAAAGCAAACCCTTGGACAAATCTTATTTATGAGCATATGCTGTTACAGCAGATGGGATTCGTCGGACCATGGAATGTCCTTCAGTTTTATAATGATCTCATGCTGAATTGTAAGCGCTTGGGATGCTGTTGTTAGAGCCTATGAGCTACAGAGGCACATATTGAAGACCGTTCGACGAACTTTATATTTAAGCATATTGAGCCTATTATCGTTATTGAAATTAAGAATAGTTTAAAAGACACGAAATCAAAGATGATAGTTTGCGCTGACCTGTGGAATCAACAAGGAAAAAGGCAACCAGGATTTTGGCAAAGGTTTTAAAGGTAAGCCGTTTCGAAACATTTTTCGACGTATACAAATTACTGCACTGCAAGAACAGTTATTTCAGAGTTCTACTTTCACAGCTTTGCTCTGATTAGTGCTATTACCAAAAGCATCTTGGCATAACTATCCTTTTATTTTCGTTTTATCAAAAATCATACGAAGGTTTTTCTGATGTTGAACACTAGTTTCTGCTCTAAAATACTTTTAAATGTATAACAGAATTCAAGCATGACGTCCATAGCTCTAATTATAATTAAGTTATAATGACAAAACACATCACATTCAGAGGTAGACTATAGGGTATTTTCTCTCCCCTTTCTGCATGTCTTTGTGGTGTAACAGTAGCACACTCGGCGCGTATTTCGAGAGGTCCAGGTTCGAGTTCCGACGAGGGCAGTGCTCATTTTTCGTGTTTCCTACTTCAAAAATCTTAATGATTCTACAAGACCTTTTCGAAAAAACTTACTTTTGGTATCTCTTGACGAGTTCTTCAGTGATCATCCGGAACTTGTTTCTTTGGAATGTTTTTCATTTCAACCACCGTTAAGGAGTTATTACATCTAACGACGCTAAAGGCTTGAAGAAACGTGTCCGATAAAAATGCTTGTCTGTTTTCTGATAAAAATGATGTCTACCTCTGGAGCGTTCCTAAGCGGAACATGTTTCGTTCAAACTGTGTCTCGCCTGTTTCCTGAACTGTGTCTCGCCTGAAACTGTGTGTGTTGAGGCTGTGTCTCGCCTAGCTGAGCGGGCTTTTTTAAAAATAAACTGAAAATGTTTGATTTGAAGCACTATTCTTCGTACGATCTCTATAAAGACCTGGGTTTCGCATAAGTAACCAATCAGATATCCCCAAAATAAAAATTCTGAGAAACCTTTCTTTCGACGCACTGTTGAGGGAGCTCGTAGACGAGATACCGCTTTTATGTCTTCAATTTTTATAATTGGAAAACCAAACATTAAGCCGCCGTTACAGTCATCTAAACATATTTAGTGTAGTCGCTGACATTAAAGACGGGGAGGAATGGATGATAAATTAAATTAGCGAACAAAACACAGCTAATCGATTACCCGTAAAATTAACTGCATGTATTTACAGAAATTTGATATAGTTTTTCCTCCTGCTAATTAAATTCGCAGTTCTATACATAATGACTCCATTCCGGATATGAACTACTAGGGTGTATACAATATTTCTTGCGAACGTCTCTAGATATACTTTGGTCAAACTAAGAGAGCTTTGAAATTTAAGACATACGTTAAGAAGAAAAACTACAAAAATTCTTTATTGTCCCAAACTGCTGATTAAAAATTATTCAGAAAATATCCTTCGCTAGAAAATTAGTTTTCTAGATGCGTTTCTCAATCATAAAACTCAGTCATAAGAACATCTCAGTTCTAGTTAAAGATCCCAATTCTAACCCGCCGTTACCTTCTGTTTTGAAAGAAATTATGTCATAGTTGTTTTTCCTTTTCATCAACAGATGGCTCCAATGGCTTTGTTTCCTTTTCTGTAGATGGAACTTTCTCAAAAATTTTGTCTATTATTATCAGAAACAATAGACAAATAAATGCACGTCATTTTCATAATAACATCATCACAATGCAAGTCATTTTTCACTTCCGCATCTGCTCTAATTAACATTCAGAACTAGTCCTGAAAATTTACAAAACGTTGCGCTGTTGTTGCTATAGTATGTTTGGCAGTAAAAATGAATTTCAAAAATCACGGGGAAGGAGAAAATAATTGTGTTCCTTTTTGCATTAACTGTTAAGTTTTCTTTCTTTTGTTCTTTTCTTATTTTACAGAAATACCAAACTTTCATGCATCAGCAAGATCAGAATGCGCTGAGAAATGCTCGATGTCTTGCAGGTAAGTTAATTATTGCGTTGTATTTTGTAAGTTTCCTCCTTTTTCCTTCTCCTAGCATTGCAAGATACGAGTTTCAGGTGCAGGAAGCTAAAAGTGAAGGAGACAGAGTAAGATTTCTTTAACAGCTTTATTTGCTTTGCCCTAATCTCTTACTCATTTGTGATAACTGCATTTTCCAATTCCATATATTAGGAATTCCGATTATCCTGATTGCGTTTTCAGGCCAAATAAAATTAGCTTGTTATTTATTTAATTATGTGGGGTTTTTTTTGGCTAGTTTAAATACAAGGAAAATAGGACATCATATTTTTGCATGTTATTATTTGCTTCAAATGTCAGACATTAACCCTGGTTTTTTCAAACAGATGGTGACTGAAGATAAAATTTGATCCTTTGTTTATGATCTTTGCTCATAGCAAAACGGTAATCATTTACTTGTATTAGAGACATGGCTCTTTTGAAACATTTTCGGCTGCACCTTGAAAAAGCCTTGAGAATTTTCAACTACTTATTATATTGCATTTTGGTATTTTATGTGATTGTTTTGACTGCTTAACTGCATCTTTAGTTTCAACAGTTACCTCGTACAATTCATTGTGCATTTTCATAGTAGAAGACGTCATTTCGATAGATCACTGGGATTTTCTTTTGTTTCGTATGTACCTTTCGTCCATATTTTCTAGTTATCGTTTTAAAAACTGATTTAAAATTTTAGAACTAAAAATGAATAAAGAACATCCTAAAAATACTAACAGCAAGAATATTTCTTTAACGTTAGAAAAAAAAAAAAAAAAAAAAAAAAAACTTACATTAACCGAAATTTTTGAACATGTCGAATCGACAGTGAAGCTAGTCGAAGAATATAGAGCTGGCTCGTAAACGATTCTTGATATTGTTAAACAAAAAAAAAGTTACAAGCATTCCCAACACAATGTGACAATGCGACATGTCTTTATAAGGAAACAGAACGGATCTCTCAACACATGGAAACTTATATTCTTAGTTTCAGGTATGTTGAAACATAGCTTTACTAGAACCAAGCAGAAAGAGTGCCTATCAGCGGTCAAATGTGCACGGAGAAATGAAAATTAGGATTAGAAGGCTGCTTTTAAGGCCTCATCAGGATAACTTTCAAGATTTAAGCAACGATATGATATTCGAGAAATCACCATAAAAGAATAACGTCTCCGTGGTTGTGTTGAATCTGCTCATAAACTCTGCATCGATTTTCAGGATTAAAACAAAAAAAATTGCAATCTAGACATATTTATAATGTAGATGTCGCCTATATTGGAAGAGTTTTCCAGCGAAAACGTTTGCTTCATCAAAAGAAATGTCCAAGCGCAAGCAGTCATGTGTTGCGCAAATGGAACAGGAACACATAAAATGAAACTTATAATGGTTGAAAAAGCAAAGAAGTCTAGATGATTATTTAAGGGGACCGAAATGAAAAATCTCTCTGTACATGATTGCAACTAAAAGGCGCATGGATGAATTGAGAGATATGCGAAGATTGGTTCAGGACCAAATGAATTCCTGAAATGGGGATTTTTTTAAAAATAAAGGTTTACCAAACAAAACGAAAAGAAACAAACAAACAAAAACAGCATTGTTATTAGATAATGTCCCGTCTCACCGGCTCATTTTAAAGAAACCATTTTTAAACCAATAGACAGTCTGATGATCGCTAGAGTTTTGCTGAAAAATGTTATCAATTTAATTCAGCCGATAGACCAAGATGTAATATATACCATCAGCTAAACGACTTTACCATTCTAGTCTTCCGATAACTCTTGCTGGGGAAGATTATGATTGAATGAAGTTCTGGAAAAAGTTGACTATATTATATGGAGTAGCAAAAGCTTGACAGAAAGTAGAACCCATACAACTGTTTTAATCATGCAGAAAAACTATACCTAATATAGATATCGGAAATTTGTCCAAGTCGAAGTAATAACTGAACTTATATGCCAAGAAATTTAGGGGATAAATGTGAATAATAAACTTATTGACTGCAAACATGCCACACAATTTCATCTAAATTAATTAAATTTCTTCGAAAATATACATTGCACTGATTTATTACTTAGTTCATTTGGCTTCGGGAGGGAGGACAATAATTGGAGTTCTACTTGTTTTCTTTGCCTACCAGTTTTCTGTGTTAAATTCGTTTCTTTTCTTGACCCATCTTAGTGTAGGCTTACAAAATTTATACAGTAAAAGATAATAAAAATATTTTATTACCTTTTATATGCACAGTAATACTGGAGAAATATGTAGAATATTGTACTGAAAATATATGCACAGACAATATTGTAGTAATATGTAACAATATGTAAAATACAAGGTAATAATATAAAAAATACGAAATACGCAACATAAATATCAAAAAGGCAAAATATGCGGTATGAATGTAAAAAATAAAAATAACTGACTTTTATTTTATTGGTAAGCTTCTGCTCAAAAGCTGTTCAATAGGAAAACGAAAACGTTTCGTTAAAAATCGCCTGTGGTTTCAGTGTCGCGTCAGATTTGTAAGAAAGTGACTAAGAGCTCTCAGTAACTGGAGTTACCATTCTTGTGACATGGGGAAAACAGTCCGATGAAATGGCAGTGCCCTTGCAATAATGTGCTAAGAGCAACGAATAATTATGTAATGTAATGTCTGAGAATTCTGTAAAGCAAAGGATTCAGACTTATACAGGTTCATCGTCAGATGAAAATTCAGCATGGTAATAGATTTTAAGTGGTACATAAGTATGAGATAATAAAGAACGGCATCAGTGGTGAAAAATTTTTCACCTGGTTCAGTAGCCATTGGAAACAAAACTGATGCCATACAGAACATATTATTATAAAATCAGCATATCACAATAAGAAATATGTTATCAGTATTCGATATTAGTATGTTGGATTATATCTTTCATAAAGAGCTGAATTTCTGCAAGGTGTGTGCTAGATGGACACCCAAGGTTTGGGAACCGAAACGGAAGTGTCAGTTTTTGATAAGAACTTTTTCATTGGTATGAGGATGATGAGGAAGCATTTCTGAAACCATGAGCCTTATAAGAGATAGGCTAACCCAGTGGGCGGGGCGCGCGTCACCGACATGTCCGTAAGAAAGAGTAGGGACGATGTGGTTTACTTTAACACTGAAACCTATTGCGTCAAAATAAAGTAAAATTAAATAAATAAATAAGGTAAAATTAAACAAGATCTGATAATTTAAAAAAATAAATTAATGAACATTTTCAGGCAGTGATTTTCAAAACTATAATAACATTACAAAACGATCATTTATTTGATTATATCCTCATTAAATTATTAACATTAAAGTGGATTATTTATTTTAGTAATTTATTGGAGCATAAAATTTTCTGAGTGTAATGAAGGAAAATAAAAGATAAAATAAAATCTAGAACCACTCAGATTTTATATTGCGCCCAAAAGGAACCTTTTCTTAACGTTTTGTGTGTTACCTATATTTGTTGAATATCATGTTCTTCGCCCGTAAACCACATACATTTAAAAACAGTATATCTTTAGAATTTCCGCATTGGAGATAAAAATGTTATTTTCCATACAGTGTTACGATTGCTCGCTTTGAACTCGTTGAGTTTGTTAATTAAAAATTCGTTAAAGTTTTACAAAATATGAAATAGATTAAAACAAATTCGAAATTCGGCCGTCCAGATGCCCATGTTCGGGTGGAGGATTACATTATTCAGAATTTGATGGCTCTAGGTACCATCGTTTTTTCAGAATGCGAAAAACATACACGTACATTCATGTTGATTCTTCATTGTTTAATTTCTTTAAATATAATACAATGGCGATAATATTGGTAACAAAAATTTGCAAGGAAACACGGACATTTATAGTGAAACAGCGCAAAATGCCGCTTTGAGCTGATAAATTAAATTAAGAGTAAATAAAAAAAATCTTATGCAGAACTAAAAATACATTAAAAAAATAATCACTATAAAATACAAGCAAAATTAATCATTACAGTTAAATACAATTTTAATATTAGAATTAAATGTATAAAAATTAAGATGTCAAAAGTGTTTATCACTATGATGTATTATGAAATATAATTGAAATAAAATTCCTTTATAGGAATTGTGTTGTAATACTCATCTATAATTTTAAAAAAGCAGCACAATTTAGAATTTAAAAAAAAACTTTCAAAAATTCGTTTTAAAATATTTTAGTATTTTTTACTTATTTACAAAAATGAAAAGCATAAAAATTGCAATATAAAATTGCTTGTTTTAAATTTTCTATTATTTCCGATTTAAAATATTATTTTCTAAAAGAAGTAGTTACAAATTTCTTTACAGCATAGGAAAAGCTAAAAAAATATCCGGCCCTGAAAGCCTGCAATAGCTTTATAATTATTTGGAACGTTAATTATGCTTGATATATATGCTAAATTGTTAAAAATCAATCTCAGTTTCAAAAATAAAAATATGTAGAAATTCTAATTTGTGAAATGAGGCGCTACATTAAGCTTTTTCTTGACGCTGCAATAGGCAACCACTGTTAAATTTCTTCAAGTCGTTCCTACTCCTCCGAATGTGATCAAGGTGACAGCCGGCAACGCCTCAGACGTTTGGGTTAATCTACTTCGTATATGGTTCATGTCGAATATTGAATGACGTAATCCTATTGCGAATATGGGCAGGTGGAAGCCCAAATTTGAAATTTGGAAGTTGTTTTATTATCGATTCCATATTTTGTAAAACTTTAACGAATTTTTCATTAACAAACTGAAGGATTTCAAAGCGAGCAATGGCAACGTTTGTACAGAGAAAAACATTTTTATCTCCAGCGCGCGAGGCTCTATATCGGGAATTCTAAAGTTATGCTCAATTTAAAACTATTTTGCGCTATTGCTCTTGAACTGAATTTATGGTTTAAGTGCGAAGAACGTGATATTTAATAAATAAAAGTAACAGACAAAATATTAAAAAAACGCCCCTTTCGACGTAATTTAAAATCTGAAATCTTTCAGAATTTTATTTTTTTACAACATTTTTACAAATTTTTTTATTTATTTATTTTATTTATCTATTTAATTTTTACAATGATTCGAATTATTGATTTTTAACATATAAATAGTGTCACTGCTGTCACCTCAGGGAACGCGTCAGACGAGGGGAGGGAGAAAACCCATTTGGATTGGTCTATTTCTTATAAGGTCCATGTCTGAAACCTGTAACCACTAATATGCGAGCTGGGCATACTTCTGTGTGGAAAGAAGTTTCTGAATGAAGATGTAGTTCGGCCAACATGAGATCTGCAAATGCATTAGAAAAATTCACTTCCCGTGGTATTTGCGTGCTGGTCAATGACTAGTGCAAGTTTATTAAATTAGACAGGAACTATGTTGAATATTATGTTATGATTATTTTCAAAGACGGCAATAAATGTTCAAAAAAGAAAGAAAAAATCACGTTTCCAACCAATTCGTGTCAAATTTACCCTCTCATAGTATGCAGATTATTTGTACATTATGTGCATTTTAAAATTAAATAGTTCTTTCAAAGCCAGAAAAATGGAAACAAACAAAGTGTGTGCAGCGGAACAATAAATTAAATTCAAAATCAAATCATATTAAGAAATTTAAGCACTTTGAATTCTACCCAAAGGTAAAATTTCAATGTAGGAGTTCTTAAATATGATACAGAAAATTATAAAATATGAATGTAAGTCAAACTGTTCGAAAATCTCGTACACAGACTTAATAAGAGAAATTAATAGCATTTCACGCAAAGTAGTCTTTATTAAAAACTAATTTTCTGATTTTTTTTTCCAGAATTCCTGTAGAACCGCGACTGACTTGACGTAAGTTTTAGAGTTTTCAAATGTAACTTATGAAATCTGTTAACGCAAAAAATATTAATTTAGATTAAATATATGTATGCAACATACATTAAATCACATTATTAATTCTTTATTTTCAGATGTGCTACTCTGGTTCAGATTTTCTTAGAAAACATGGATACCACAACATTCGCTTATAAACCTCGCTTTGAGGTAATTTCTTCCAAAATCATTAGGCATTTCCCTGATTATTATTATTTTTAGAACTCGTTTCCCCCTCAAAATTAATTTTTTTCGTATTTATTGCAAAGATTGAATTAGACAGATATCAAATTAATTGGATGCTGAAATAACGGCGTGGCTGAAATGTGTTCGATTTACTGCGCTTTTGAAAGGTTAACGACTGTTATCTCTGGCAACGCCTTTTATGGAAGAATAAGCATCTGGTCTCAGGAAGGGGTTGTACCTCTACTTATGCGTGTATCTATGCCTCCAATTCTCTGAGAGCTTCCCTAAATCTTTCAACACATAGTAGCTTTCATGCGTTAAGTCTATTTGGAAGTAATAGAAAGACGTAACTTGCGTCAGAGTGACGTCAATAACCATAAAAAGCTAATCGTAGTATCTTTCTATTTCAGTTAAAAAGAGGTTAAAAAAGGGTGAACGAGTGCCGCAAATAAAGCGAGGCAGTTGAGAGTTTTTTTTTTTTTTTTTTTTTCTTTTTGTGCAACGCATGATCGGTGTTTGTAGAAATTATGCGTGGGGAATTTATTTTATGCGTTGAACTACTTAAATAATTTTATCCGCGGGGCAAAATTTTATTGCTATTACTCTGAAACGGTAGCTGTGAGGTGACGGCGCCCCATTAATGTTTAATTAAATTGAGGAGTAACACTTTTTCTTTTATTATTATGATTTTTTTTTTCCTTTGAGTTTTCACGTTAAATGCAATTTGTAGAAATATGTTTCATTGTGTTTTAAAATTAATGTTTGGAAAATCGTAGCCATTGTTAGCCTCGACTTGCTCGACGTGCTTGTTCTTCATAAATATGTCAGAACTTCGAACCTTAACTTTTGAATTGCTTTTCGAATATTGACTTATATATTGACTTATATTTTTTTGTTCGAATATTGACTTATATTTTTTTGTTACTTATTTGTATACATCTTTCCTTTTAAGAAGCCGCAGAGAAAAAAATTTGCGGCTAGTAAGTCTGGAGATCGCGTCAGTTAAAATTCAAGCATTGGGAAGAAATATGTTAAAAGTCAAAACGTTTCCTTGTTGCTGAAAATGTAAAGGAGCGAAAGGCGTGTTTCCGTCATTAAAAAAGTTGCGGTATATTTGTTGCGTCAAAGTATTAGAATGTTGATTTTCAGAGTAAGATTGAACAATCTTCAACTTATTTATGGTGGTGAACCTTTATATCCTGAAGTTCACAAATAGTGCTTATGTAGTCTTAAAACGCAAAAGAAAAAAAAAGACATTTTTCATTGTATAAATCAGGGTTTCTTAAACTGTGGGTCGCCATAAATTTTAGCAGTTTTGATATTTCTTTAACTTATTATAATAATTTTACAATTACCAAATATTTTTACACAATGCATCTGAAAATAGATAAAGATAAGACAATACAGACATAGGAAAAAACGAAAACGTTTCGACGCATTCTTTTTATAATATAAACGTTCATTTTCCTTGCTTTGCGCGTGACGCTGTCATTTCGTCTGTTATTTATTAAAAATTTTCACATTGTTCTGTGTCTTAAAATTAGAAATTAAACTTAATGACCTAAAACTGCAATAATATATTACAGTACAAGTGAAAAAAATTGACAGTTCATTCACGCGTGTGTCGGATTTGCGCAATACTTATGGGGTCCCACAAAATTTTTGTAAATATTATGGGGTCCTGGAGGTCGTGAAAAAAATTTCAGTGACATAAAGGGGGTAGCGACTGCAAAAAATTAAGAAACCCTGGTATAAATCATAACTGTAATTATACACCGTCCCATACATGTATTATACAATGAAAGTCATTAATCAAAGTAATGTAATGATAATGTAAAGTAATGAATGGGAGTAAAGTAATGTAATGTACGATGTAATGAAAGTAATGTATGATGATGTAAATGAATAAATGAAAGTAAAGTAATGTAATGTATGGTAGGTAAATGAATAAATGAAAGCAAAGTAATGTATGATGTCATGGAAGTAATTTCATGTATGAAAGATTTTAGAATCTACCTAAATTAAATTTTCTTTGTTGGTTCTTGAACTGTGGAGTGGCTATTCACCAAATTAAACTCTATCAATGACATGATGTATGAAGGGTTAAAAGATACTTTTATTCACCTCAAGAAGGGATTTACAGACGTCATTCCTGGTGCGAACAAACTTAGTTAGTATTTATGGCTGCAACTCAAAATAGAAATACGAAATTAAAACGAAGTCTACGTTACATATACAGCCGATGCCGCATATACATAGTTAACGGGAGCTGACTCTTAGCTCTACTACCGAAGTACACAAACTGGCAATTAATATGCACGACTATAAAATAGCAAGCTTAAATCAGCGAAACAACGTTGCCGAACGGCAGAACACGCTCTACCTGAAGTAACTCATACACCAGCTTAAATAATATCTTTCTAACCTACTTTGCATAACATGCGAAACTGAAACATCTTTCTGGTAGGAAATGGAAATAAGGGAAGATAGAAAAAATAAGTAACTGAACAAAAACTGGTTAGTTTAAAACTAAAATGCTTCTTTACAAAGTAACTAATAAACAGGATTCTTCGGTATGAAAACTAAAGCCTTATTCATATTTTGTTGAAATAATTATTATTTTTAAGAAATAATAACCATAAGATAATTTATATGTTTATAAATAGCACTTTTAAATTTATTGTTTACACTTTTGCTTTCCGTTGTAGAAAACTGAAGTTTCATATTATTAGGGTAATTATGTAACTTCTTTTAAATTATATTTGCGATAGATGGCGTTTTCTTTTACAAATTTTATAAACCAAATTTGAATACATTCCTACTCTGTAGTTCTGATTCAAAATGCAACATTTGAACTAAAATCGACAAAAAATTAAAATAAAAAGAAATTATAATGTACCTTTTTTCTATGTCCTGATTTCGCATTTTGGTCCAGGCAGATTAATAACCTTAAAAATCTCTTAAACCAGCCTTTATAGCTCTTTAATGGAGTGAGTGTATTGTCAAATACTCATTTCATGCTTCGAGATTTAGGATACTTACGATTTATTAATAATTAAATTTCGGAAATAATATGTTTCGTTTCGTTAATACAGCTATTTTTGAATTATGTATGATATTTTGATAACCGTCAAATTTTAAACTCTATTTAAAACTGATTTCAAATGAAAAATGTCGTTACATTTCCATGAACTATTTAATACCACATGAATACAATTTAATATTAGACAGATTTGGTTTGTTATCGTTAGAAACAAATTAGTTTCTCTCCTGAATAAACGTCATCGTGTGTTCCTCTGCGCAAAGTCTTTTCATTTAAAATCAGACCAATCAAATACCATAGATGAAGTTTACCAATAATTGAAACTCATGCTCTGTTTATAATTATTACATCTGTGTATACATATTCGCTAGAATATAAGGCCACAGGGTCTCACTTAAAAGGAGATTTTCAAAAGTAGATTAACCTTGCAAGTGAAGTAGAATATTTAAAAAAACATATTAATGTAATTTTACACTTGGCGATGAAATTTTACATTATAAAATTTATTAGATTAGGTTTTGAAATAACATTTCTAATACTTTGGGAGCAAATTCCTCTGATGACCTTTAGAAAATTTCTCTCCGTATAATCTACTTATTAAAAATTCCATTGCGAGGCAAATTACAGAATTCTCTTTCCCAAAAGCTTCGAGTAAAATTAACGCTCGTTATGACATGATGCTGACCTGTAAGCCTTTCTGGCTTAAAGCGAGAAATAATAAATAATCCCCCTCATCCCAAACAGAAAGTGTAAGTAATAAGTAGTGTTGAAAGAGCTATTCCTGATCTTTCTTGATAACAGAGTTTCTGCTCTGCTTTGAAATAATTGGGTGATAGAAATTTTATTCTCCCTTTTGGGATAATGATATATCTCTAAGAACTGCCGTGAATCATTCGAAAATAATTTGTTACATTTTAGTAAATATTTCTATGCTGTATTTGACCATATGCCGTTATGTAGTATTTGCCTGACAAAAATATGGGTTTTCTTTGAAGGAGATGTTGTCTAAAGAAGAAAACTTTAATCTATGTATGTATCGTATTCACACGAAGAAAAGAATGATTTATTTTGAAAGAGATACAGCGAAAGTCCGACAATTAGGAAGCCGGCTATTTGGCAAAAATTCGATTATCTGGCACATGCTCGCTAGTGGCAAAAACCGCGGAAATCTTTCGGAAGAAATGTACTTTGTAGTATGGTGGCTCATAACACCACTCTTTTTAGAGTAATACTATAAAATTATAAATAAATGCAGGGATAATTTAATCAAGAGTGTAATAGAGTAACATTTATGAGGGATTATTATACGAGTAGAGTTTTAAAAAAAAACAAAACATGGTTATATAATGCTTTCCCATGGCGCGAACTAAGTAAAGATAAATCAGCTTTACAGTTAAGTATTCATTCAACTTACAGGCGATTTATCGTCTTCCCATTTTAAATTTAGTTTTTTAAAGAATATGAATAAGAGTAGAATCCAAATTAAAGTTTATTTGAACTATGGTTTGCAGTCAAAAATTAAAAATTTAACAAGAATTATCGTTCTTTATGGGATCCGGAAATACAAGTTTAAGCATATACAACAAAAATAGCAATTAATACTATGTGCGAGCTCTAATCATGAATTATAACAAAAGCCAGAAAATTCTCACCAGTAGCGTATATTACTGCCGAGGAAAAAGACGAGAGAAGTAACATTGCTGGTCATTTTGGCAAACACTCTAACCCTAACTCACATGTTTTCATTCTTAAAAGCCACCTAATTTATATTTCTTTTGACGCTAAAGGAAGAAATAGAAGTACGAGTTTTAACATAAAAATAAAGTATTAATTAAAATAATTCATTTGTAAAATAGTTTTATTTTGCTGTTACTCTAGCCAGAAAAATCGCACTTAGAAAATCTGCAGCCAGAAATGCCTAGCCAGGAAATTTACAGTCATTCTAGCAGTAAACAATAAATCGACGCGATTTCTTTTTCTGTTAGTTACTCATAACATTTTATAATGGTTTTACTCCCATATACTTCTGCAAGCTATGCAAAGCAAATGGTTGAATTTTGAGTATTTTTAAAAGCTCAACTGTTGTTTTTAAGGAGGAGGAGAGCTTCCTTTTATAACTTAAAAGTTGATCTTTTTAGTAAAAAACCATTTTACTCCTTTTCAGGAGTAAATCTGATACAATAATTTACCGTTATGTTAATAAATTTTCCTTAATTTCTCATTCAGTCTGTGGGGATTCTGAGCTGGATCGGCGGCTACGTGGGACTATGGCTTGGGATTTCTCTTCTGCACGTTTATGATTTTTTGGAGATGTGCCTGTTTAAACTTTTATTTAAAATGAGAAAAAAATTTCAGAAGAATCACAAAAAGAAAAAATCGAAAAAGACATACTATTTGAACGATACATTATACCAGATTACTACTGCGAGATATATATGAAATCATAAGAACATCAAAGAATCGTTTACGAATGCAAAAGCAAATGTCATGCCATGCTCCACACCATTCATGTATGAACTGAAAAAGTAAATGTAATTGTTTTGAAAATGTCTCCTTTTATTCCTACATTAATATTCACGATGACTCATATACACACACAAACACATACACACACATTAAAAAAAAAAAAAAGGAAATAATGCAACAGACAGGAGAAATTTGAATATAACCTACAATAAACTATTTCTCGTAAGTTAAAAAAAATTCAGAATTTCAACCATATAGCTAATACATTGCACACTGACAGTAAAATGGGTAACTTTTCATCTAATATTTTCTTCTATTAAAATTAGTCAAAAATCAAAATTTCAAAAATGAGTCAATTTTAAATTATCGGCCTTTGTTATACAATATCAAAAGACTTATTTTAAAACAACCTATCCTATTAGGTGACTTATTCATATGATTATATAATGCTTTGAAGTTTGTACTAACATTATCCTGAACTCATCTGTAGTTCAAAATTATTCTAATAAAAGATTTATTTTTCAAATTTCTCTTCTATTTTTATTGATGCAAAAGTACTACTTTCACAATCTCGTATAGTCTCTTTCACAAAATTTGAGTTCATACAGCACCAATAAAGAATTCTAGATATCTAATTAATTGTCGCAATTACAGAAATAGTATCATTCTTAGATGACTTAATCTATCAGCATAGGTATGATAAATATTCAGAAATTCATAAGCATTTGCTGCACCATTATGGGAAAAACTGATAACCTCGTTGCTGTAATTGGCTCGGGGAATACCCAGCACCATATGGGGATGTCCAAAACTTCTGAAAAATAAATTCAATCATAAAAATGAGAGTACCGTCAAGCAAAGCGTCAGATCTGCCCAAGTCTCAAAAATGGTAAAAATTAAAACTATGTGTGAAAATAGTAAATCACTGGAGGACAAAAGACCAATTTCTGCTGCGCATTCTGAGGTAGCTAAGGGATAAAAATATACAGAGATCTACAAATAATCATGTAAAAACTGATGAGAGTAATAAATCTGAATTTATAGTGTGTTTCAAAAGATGTCGGAGTAATTCATAGTGTCTTTGGACACAATAAGCAAACGAGTGAATCCTGCAATAAAAAATATATATCTAAATTTAAATTTCATAATGATTACATTGATAAATTTTGTTCCGAAATGATCAAAAAAATTCATAATAATTGTGAATAAATCGATAAAAATTTTAAAAATTATATCACGTAAAGTTAATGATCTATTCCAAAAGTAATATGAACTTAGAGAGTTCTTGAGAGAGTTCAGCGTTAACGCTGTACTTTTACAAAAACGTGTTTAGTCTACAACATATATTTCATCAAGCAATTATGTTTTACATCGAAAAAGTAGACCACTCCTTAACCGAAAGGTCTGCGGTGGTCATATGATCTTAATTAAACGTTTCACCTGTAATTATTAAGCAACATTATTACAATTTTCAGACATAGAAGTCTTTAGTTATCTGCGCACTATTGTCACTACTGTCTCCAGCTGTCTGCTACCAAAGAAACATTAAAAGAACGCTAAAGCAAATTCATCTGTGTTATATCGAATTAACAAACGAATTATTTTAAGTGGGGGCTTTAATACAGAGCACTATCCAAAGAATTGCAATAGCAGCAACGCGCATGGAAACATTATTTATTCTTTCGCCATTCAGGCTATTTTACATATTGAAACATATTCAACAAGCTATAGCCCCAATACAACAAATATCTTAGACTTTTGTCTATTAAAGAATTTTAATACTCCAATTTGCAAAGAAAATATTTATGAATTATATTCTGGCTGCAGCCAGTTATAATGGATATTAGCATCCAGTTGCTACAGCGCACCACACAAGAGAACTCTTATTATTATTTGGGCAGGATACACCAAAACTCTAAAGGACACACAACATATTACACCAACAATACATTAAAGAGATGAGTTAAATGTATTGATTCAGAATTTTACAAGTGACAGGCATCAAGCACTGGATGAAAATAGTAAAGATATTCCGATCATTAAAAGATGTCAAGATCCTGAAATCCAGAAATTAATAAAATGTAGAAATCAAGATTGTAAAACATGACAACGTACTCATTATTCTGGTGATATGCATGTTATGAATGTGTTATATTACGAAGTCAGGTACCTTGTTAAAGCAGAAGGAAAATGTGACCAGACACCATATTTAGAATAGCTTTCTCAGAATAATTTAATATGGAATGCTGTTTCTAAATATAAAAATTGCTGCACTAGCATTCCGCCCCTCAATAGTCTCAACAGGATCACTTGTAGCGAAAATGACAAAGCTGAGTCACTAGCTGATAACCATGCTTCTCAATTTTAATTAACAACATTTTCAAATCCAGAAACAAAAGGCAGTTAGTTGATGTAATTCCCAGTATTACAAATGCACACAAACAACATATCCTGCCTCTCAAGTCAAGTTCTTGGAAATTTATATATATATATATATATAAAGAAAGAAATTTAAGAAAACTCCTGGATTTGAGCGAATTAGCAACAAGGTGATTACAGAAATGGGATGCATAATGTTATTCAAATTTACGAAAATAATTAACTTTACTTAAACTTTGCTCTAGCTCAATTCTTTCCTACCCAACTGAGAAACGGGACTTATTGTCACTAAGAAAGAAACCTGGTATGAAGATGCGTAAGGTCTCATCATTGTTCGGAATAAAAATAGTCTTTCCTTAACTAACTAAATTTAATTAACACGTTTCTAAGTCATCATCATTATTAATATTACCGAGTTTTTAATCTCGGTCAAATCCGGATACAGCGCCGGAGACTCGCTTCCAACTCTTATCTAATCTAATCAGTCATAACGAAAAAATATATAGGGTTACATCAACTATCTGGCGAGAATAAAGAAGCGTCACAGCGGAATACAAAGGGGTTGCAACACACTACCTCCCCCCGAATGAAGAATGACAGTTGTTTAGCATCTAATTATTTCAAAAGAGACTGACAAATACAAATATTATAAAAGCATACTTACAACGTGAGATTGAAATTACTTACTCTCTCAGAAAACATTTGAAGAATAAGTTGAAGTCTACAAAATATAATACTAATAAACTGAATTAAAACACTTAATAAATGTTAGTTTAATGCTCATTGCTAAATAATAAAATGTCAATTATGATCAAGTTCTAGTTTTTAGAGTAACTGAATCGGTCTTTTAATTATACTAGAAGACGTCTGAAAGACACAAGAACGCACCATCTCTACTAAGAAACAGTTCATTGATCACTCCAAATTTCCGTAAGTGGTTTGGCATTTTGTACTCTTGAATCAACGCTACAACACCAATTTTGAATATAGAAGGGGTGTTAATGCGAGGGGACAAATTGACAGAGTGAAGTTCAAGTAAGTTCGCCAACGTTTCCAGAAATGAGTGATGACTTCTTGTCTGTTTTTCAACATTTTCGTGAGAACAATTTAGTTTGATTTAGGTTCAATCGAATAGTTGACATCTGACAAGGAATTTAAACGCTTACCAGTCAAAAAATGAGATGGGGGTAATCGGAAGAGGTTCGCTGTTATCTTCATAAACATAAGTCAGAAGACGACTGTTGATGACAGCTTCAATTTCAGTCAGCGTGGTTTGAATTTCTTCATAGGTTAAGGATGATATACGGAGGATTTTCTTCAAAGATGGTCTTACAGAACGCACCACCGCCCTACCAATTAGCTCTAGGAATAATAAATTTCCACGTGAAAATATTTTATCTGAAATATTGCTGAACGTGAGGTTGAGAGAATCGACTCCAAACTTCTTTTAAAAATAATCGGCCTTTATGAAGGTTTTCGCATTATCACTATAAATTGTTTTACATAGTCCTCTTATGGACTTGAATGAATCTTTTAATGGAAATGAATCTTTTATGGAAATGAATGGAAGTGAATCTTTTAAATATCGTCTGCGAATGAATCTTTTAAGGGTTAATATAAAAGTTTCAGTACTCAAATTACTTGCTACCTGGAGATGGATAGCTCTAGTGACAGCATAACACGATGCATGCCTTTTTTTAGCCTGTTTTATTCTTTGATATAAATGAGACCAGCGAAGTCAACTACACAGGTCAGAAAGGAAGGGGATTCAATTATTCTATCTCTAGGTAATGGAGCAATATCTTGTTTTCCAGGGGATGCACTGAACCTTTTACAAGTCATACAATTTTTAATACTGATTTAACATTTTCCTACGTTTAATTATACAATGTTTTCCCTCAGATGAGCTAAGGTGCATGTGATACCAAAATAGAAAATCTTTTTATGAGCATTCTTAACCTGGTAGAATCCAAGGATATTTTTCCTTCTGAGAAAACTCAGAAAATTGAAGTCTTACAAAAATGACTAACAAACCGTTTTCATCAAATTTTGGATTCAGATTGTATAACGATGAATATTTATAAATAGGCTTCTCATGTTTTAGTGACATAATTTTACGATTAAATTCAATTTGTTGTGTGTGTTTTATCCAATATAAACCTTTTCAATATCTGAAGATAAGAGTTGGCCTGAAATTTTAGATTTCTTCTTATCAATGCTGTTTAAAAATAGCCGTAATATTGTACGGCTTATTTAAGGAATTAAAATTCTCTAATTTTAGCAAAGAATGTGGAAATACATCAACAGCACAAGACAATTGTACGGAATTCAAATTAGATCTCTTTTCGTCCGTAACATCTTTAGCATCGTTATTAATAACGATATTTTCGAGTTTGGGCCACATGTCACTTGACATTGATAACCATTCAGGATCATAAAACCATAACTTGTTTTCGATGAGACTATTCAACTTTTCACCTCAAGTTAAAAGGTGACTTGGATTATCTCTTCTCGGGATATGGTTCCAAATTTTGGAATCAGTTAAGGATTCAATTTCCATAACTCTATTCGCTACAAAAGGTTTCCAATTCAAAGGTGATTCCTTAACCCATTGTAGTGTTATGGTTGAATCCGACCACATGTAGATATCTAAATTCTGGGAAAAAACATT